GCTAGCCTCCCAGGCTGGTGGTCCCTGACAACCCCCAGGCCCCCCGGGGGGTCTCCGCAGGGGGAGCACGGCCACCTGACTCCCCGCGATCCTCAGTGCGCCCGCTGTCTGCACCACCCCCTCAGGAGGCACCTCTCCTTCCACAGGCTCAGCCTTCCGGCCCCGGCTGCGGCGCGGCCCATCACGAGCCTGGTGCATCCGCTCAGCCCAGGAGTGTCTACTGCCCTAGGCCGAGGGACGGACGCCAGGAGCTAAAGCTGATGGCGCCCACCTCCAGCGGCAGGCTTGCTGTCTCCTGTCCTCTGCTCACCGCTAGGTCTCTCCCTGGCACCCTCAGGGGACAGCAGCCCCCGTCCCAACATCCCTCCACTATTTCGTCAGCGTTCTCAGGGTTTCGGCATCCACAGGCTGCCTCCTGTTCCTCGAGCCCTCGGCACTGCCAGTGACAGCCCCACTCTCTCAAGGTCGTGCCCCCGGGGCGTCCTCACGAGTAACTGCATCAATGCCACGATCTCAATTGTAAGGGTCCTCCTCTGTGACCAGAGAGCCCTCTGCCCGGCACTCCCTCCCTCCTGTGACTCCACCCCAGGCCCGGCTCCACTGCTCCCGACCCCTCCTCTGACCCAGCCTGATATCACAGCCCCTCACACTTTCCCCCAGCCCCCAGGCCCATGGCCATGACCTCCCCAGGGAGCCTCCTCAACACCATAGCTCTGCTCATCCCCAAAGCCCTGATCTCAGTTAAACCCAACTCTGGGACTCCAGACGGCAGCTGAGTACTGAACTTGGCTGGAGGAGATCTCACGCTCCTGCCGAATGCACTTCAGAGGGCACTTGACGTTGCCTGACAGCCCTACCCCCGAGACCCCAGGGCTGGTCTCCTCTCTCCTTGAACCTCCAGCCCCGCAAATGTCACATTATAACATGTTGATGCATAACATGTCCATGAGGTTCCGTAATAAAAATTTTACACAGGATAGGCAGTGAAATACCTCCTTCGCGATCTCCCTCCCCACCACCCTCCTGCCTCCTGCTCTCTTCCTCCCCGTTTCTGGTGTGCAGACGCACACCTGCCTGCTCACACACCCACAAGTAAGCGCTCTGATTAGTTCCTGGTGTATTCCTCCAGGCTGTCTCAATGCACACACAGGCAAATGCAAATGAATGTAATATAGATATGCATATACATACGGTATGTAGATATAAAATTCTATAGATATCTTTTCCCACTTGTACTTATTGAATGTAACATACCACAGGCTGTTGTGCAAGGGGCTTTCTTCTCCTTGATACTGTATATTAAAACAGTTTCCACATCAGGACAGAGAGAACTTCCTTCTTTGTGGCTGCATAGAGCTCCATTGTGTGGTGCACTGCACTTCTTTGCCTAGGGTTACCGATGGACACACAGGGAGTTTCCAACATGGATAAGATACGTTCCTGGAAGGGGCACCTGGGTGGCTCAGTACATTGGGCATCTGACTCTTGATATTGGCTCAGGTCAAGATCCCAGGGATCCCGCCTTGGGCTCCTCACGAAGCATGGAGACTGCTTGGGATTCTCTCTCTCTCTCTCTCTCTCTCTCTCTCTGCCCCTCCCTACTCTTTAGCTTTCTCTCTCTCTCAAAAGAAAATAGAAGATACATTGCTAGAAGGGGAATGGCTGGATCAGAGAGGTTTTGTTGACTTGACTGCTATTGGCCCTCGGCAGGGGCTGTGTCAGGTTACCCTCCCAGAGGAGTTAGTGAGCGCACCTGACGGCTGTTGGCCTTGCCGTGCTTTGGACAATCTTAGGAGACATACTCTTTCCGTAGACCTCTCGGACTTAACCCCCCACGTCTCTCCCCCGGGGCCTCCCCACTCTCCCTGTCAGGACTTCCGTATTTGGGAGGTGGCACCACGGTCCCCATGGCTTGCTTAGCGTCTTTTGATGGTTCAGGGACTTGCTCTTATCTCACATGCCACCCCAGAGCCGGCCCCATCTCCCTCCACATCACATCGTCCCCCCTTCCTCTTCAAAGCCCTCAGTGCTTTCCTTTTACAGCTGGAGCCCCCACCTCCCAGCCCCAACTAAGGTTCTCAGACCCCTGCCTGCCTCTCTGGTGGGACCTGCTCCATCTCCTACCTTCCCCCACCCAACCCTGGAGCTCTTCCCCTAGAGCCCAGCACCCCCACCCATGCCACCTTCCTTTGCGGCTGCTCCCTCCCCTGCGCTGCTCTGTCCAGGTCTGTGTAAGTGGCCTTATCAAGTTTGGGGGCCCAAACCAAGTATCTTCTCTGTGAGCACTCCCCGCCGCCCCGCCTTAATCTCTACCGAGTCACTGCCACCCACTGCCACCCCACTGCCGTGGGACCTGAACTGTGTATTTACTTGCTCCGTGTTTCCTGTGTGCCTCCGGGAATGTCAGCCCTTCTGGGTGGCCTTGGCCAACTCTCCCCACTGCCCCGCCCCCAGCAGGGATGGGGGAGGGGTGGAGGGCCCCATCAAGGCTTGTGCCCCTCCCTCTCCATTCACACGGGCCTCACAGCCATGTACAACTGAGAGCAGGTGGCCACAGAAGGCCCCCTGTCCAGGCTGCCCCTCTGTGCCCTGAGCCTGGTGACTCACTCTGCCATAGGTCCTGTGGGGACGGGGAAGTCCCTGAAGTGGAACCCTTGGTGGTGGCCAGGGCCAGCGACCTCGGTCCCTTCCCCACTCCTGTGTCCTCTTCCTCATCCCTCCTGGAGTTCTGCTGGCTGAGGGGGGAGGCAGGGCATGGAGGTGGGGGGCGGGGAGGGGTTCAGGGCTCTCTGAGGACCCCCCAACCCGCCCCGCCGCAGCCAGGCTGGAGACCGGACAGCCCAGCCTTTTCAGGCCTTTAGGTCCCTCAGGTCGGCCTGGCCGGAGGGATTTGAAGTTTCCAGCTTGTCTCGGGTGCTGGGTGTGGGAGCTCCCGCAGATGGTTCCTGTGGTGGGGGCGCTGGTCCCAGGACCCCCTGCCTCTCCCACCCCGAGCTCCGTGGGAGCAGTGAGCGGCAAGCTAGACACCCACCGGCGAGGTTCCAGCCCGCCAGGACCTGCGGCCTCAGCTCTGGGGGAGAGGGTGTCCCGGGGCCACCGTCCCCCTTCCCTCCTTGACCCTCAATGGTAGGCTGGCTCCACCCCATCCCATCCCACAGGAGCAGTAAGGCCCCTCTCCCCTCCTCTGTCCCTCATCCAAGGGGCCCCCAGACTCCACACGGGCTCCCTTGGGGACCCTCCCTCAGCTATGTGGAATGGAAGGGACCCTGCCCCTCCCCAAATCCTGGGCCTGGTGGACTGGTGTCCAGATGAGCTGGGGCCATCTCTGAAGGCCGACTGTGGGGCTCCCCTGATCACAGCTGCAGCATTGTGCGATCAGGTCCAGAAATGTAAGGCTAAGTTCCCCCAGAGGCCTGTGGGCGGGGCTGAGATGATTGTCTGGAGTCCACTGCCTACGCTGCATCCTCAGGAGGACTGTGGGGGAGGCCAAACCGGCTCATGGTCTCTATTTACAGGTAAGGAGACTGAGACATGAGAGAGTGAAGGGGCTGGCCATGCCCCCCACTCAGACTTTCCCAAAGCTCATGCTCATGGGAGAAGGGGGAGGGGCACCGTGGGACCTGACTCACTGTGGGTCTGACACAGAGCCTGGGGAGACGGGGTTTGCCCAGGCCCCTGGAGGCTAAGAAAGCCGCTGCTGTCCCCGATTCCTGCTCCCCAAATAAATCATTCCAAGCCACTTCTGAAATCAGTTTTTTATATTAAGCTATAAAAATCCGGACTTTGTCCTGGGTACATACGTACAAAAGCGGTACTATCAAAAATAATATTAACGACATCAAACACGCTAATTCCTACAGCTGTACAAAGGCCTTTGTGCACCATTTACAAGGGCCAGCTCCTGGCCACAGTACCTGGAAAGAGGGGACGCGCCCCAGCCCAGCACTCTCAGGGGCACGTGCTGAGGCACGCCTAAGTCTGAACCGCGCCTGCTGGAGCCGAGGGGCTCGTGGGTGGGCAGGGGCCCGGGAGCGTACGGCGGCCTCGAGCTCCCCGGGTAGGATAAGGTGTCCTACAGGCAGGGGTGCATGAACACTGCAGTGGGCAAAAGAATGCCCTCCCCCCGGCACCCCACCCCCCTGCCCACGTCCTGACACCTGGACGGCCAAGGGGGCAAAGGTCGCAGGTGGAATTAAGGCTGCTGATCAGCTAACCTTAAAATTGGGGATGATCCCACATTATACAGGTGGGCCAAAGGTCATCGAAAGGATCCTTAAAAGTGAAAGACGGAGGCCAGGAGAGGAGGTCTGAGGTCTGTGATGTGAAAGGGATCTGACTGGCCACAGCTAGCTTTGAAGATGGAAGACAGCTGGTGCCGCGATACTCAGGCAGCCTCTAAAAGCTGGGAAAAGCAAGGAAATTCCCTCCAGAGCCTCCAGAAGGAACCAGCCCTGCTCAGACCTTGGTTTTAGCCCACGAGACGTGTATCAGACTTCTGACCTCCAGGACTGAAAGGTTAGATCCAGTTGAAACCACTGCGTCGGTGGGAATGGGCTATAGCAGCAATAGGACACTGATACAGAGGCCAAAGGGCCAGAGGTCAAGTCTGCCCTGCCTAGACCTCAGGCTGACTTCCCGGAGGACCCATGGAGGCGCCCCTGTCTGTGCATGGAGGACCCAGGAGGCCCAGGCCCCAGCTAAAAGTTCATCTTTTCCTTCTTTCCTTTCTAATTCTGCCTTCCATTCCATAGACGTGCTGAGCTCAGCTCAGTGCTGCTCCCCACACTGGGTGTCCCGCCCCCAGCTGGGCAGGTAAACAACCCAGGGCCCATCCAATCCTGGCTGCTCAGGGGCTGGTGCCTTAGCCATGCTGGGCAGAAGCAGCAGCAGCAGGCTTTGCTGAGGGGCCAAGAAGCAGGGCACCCCAAGGGGGGTGCTGGCCCACCAAGGGGGGTGCTGTCCGATGCTTCCTGGGTGCTCACAAGCAGGTCAGGCGGCAGGAAAAGCTAACCAACTTTTATAAGCGAAAATAGGGGCTTGAAGGGCTCATGCGTCCCCGTGCTGACGTCCAGGATGCTTCGGATGCTCTTGACCTCACTGCTCGACAGGTTTCCCTTGATGGCCAAGATGGCACTCAAGTGGCCTTTGCTGGTAAGGAAAGCATCCCGTCAGTCCAGCCGAGTCACCCCTGCTCACACCTCTTCCCAGCTCCCCAGACACCTGGTGCAAGCCGCAGGGCCCTGCAGCCCAGCCCTGCCCACGAGGGGGCCATATTCTCCTTTGCCCACTGTGCCCCACAGCCCCGGCCACCCGTCCTTCCCTGGAGTGCACCAAACCCCTGCGCATCTCAGACCTCTGCGCTGGCTGTTCCTCCCGAAATGTTCTCCCCCACACTCTGGAGGTGAAGAGCTCTTTCTCACCCTTCGGGTCTCAGCTAAAATGTCACCTCCCCCAAGGTTTCCCATGTCCCAACTCAGCGCCTCCTGTCATTCACAACCTTGGTTAAACTATCTTTACAGCTTGTAAGTTTATTTCTTTGCCTGATTACTTTATAATTGCTAACCCTCATTAGACTGTAACCTACATGAGAGAGAACGGAGACCTGGTCTGTCTCAGACTTCATTGCACAAGCAATGCATATACCTAGAACAGGGCTAGGTACTAAGCAGGAGACGACTCAATAATGGGTGGATGGATGGAGGGAGAGAGGACGGGTGGGTAGATGGATGGATATGTGGGTGGGTGGGTAGATGGATGGGTAGATGGATGGATGAATAGGTGGGTGAATGGATGGATGGATGAATGAGTGGGTGGGTGGGTAGCTGGATTGTTGGATAGGTAGACAGGTGGGTGAGCAAGTGGACGGATAGCCAGATGGATGGGTAGATGAATAGATTGGTTTGGTATGGGTGGGTGGATGGATGGGTAAGAGGATGTGTGGATGGATAGGTAGGTAAGGGGGTAGATGGATGGGATGAATGGATGGATGGGTAGATGGGTGGATAAATAGGTAGGTAAATGGATGGATAGATAGATGAACAAGTAGGTGGATGGGTAGATGGTTGGAGATAGGTAGAAGAATGAGTGAGCAGATGGCTGGATAGCTACACAGATGGGTAAATGAGTAGATGCATAGAAGGGTGTTTGTATGGGTGGGTGGATGGATGGATGGGTGAGTGGATCAGTAGATGGATGGGTGAGTGTGTAGACAAGTAGATGGGTAGATGAATGGAGGGAGTGGATCAGCCAGAGGCTACACTGGGCTGGACTAGGCGAAGCAATCCAACTCAAGACTGTGCAAGCTTTCCCTACCGTGTCAGAGGACTCAGCCTAAGGAAAAAACTGCCCTAGTTCACCAGACCTTCAGGCAGCCAGTGGCTGTGCCTTCACTCTGAAGACCCCCAGGCTGACCTCCATGGGGTCCCCAGCTTCACTCTTGACTTGCTATGGCCCTAGCCTCTCTGGTCTTCGTTTCCCCTCTGAGAGCAGTGTCACATTAGGCTAGAACCACGGGCTGTGGAGCCAGACTCCCTGGCTTTGCCGTCTCAGCTTTACGACTGACTAGCTGTGTTAGACAAGCTCTGTAAGCACTCCGGGCCTCGTCAGCTTCATAAGGTTGTCAGTGGGGCATCAGATGCATGAGCCGCTGTGTCCGGCACACAGTCAGCCCTCGGCACGGGCTAACTGCTGGGACTGAGCTCTACCAGCCTGAAGGGGCCGACCCCGGCCTCCCAGGCTCTGCCCAGGTCCAGCAGGGCCATGCTGGCTGCCCAGGTCCCGTGGTGCCCTTGTTTCTCACCTGAAGTCAGGGTACCAGGTGGCGTAAGTGGCAACCTCAATCTTGATGGCACTGGGGTCTTGCAGGCGAATGATCTCGGCGAGCTTGGGGAGGGCGTGATGCAGCCAGGCCGCTGGGGAGCCCTGCAGACACAGGTCTGGTTGGGGGTAGGCTGCCCCTTCCCCAAAAGGCACCCGAGGGCTCAGGGTAGTTCCGGCCGGAATGGATCGGGTTTGGAGAGGCCCGGGGACGTGTCTGGCCCTGAAGGCACTTGGGACAGGGGCCGCCCACCCCCGCGGTGCTTGGGAGGGGTTGGCTGGAGCTTACGTTCTGAGTGCAGAAACACTCGATGAGGTCGGCATTGGCCTGGACGTGACCTGCCAGCTGCTGCTGCTGCTCCGCGGTCTTGAGGACGAGGCTCCGCTTGCTGAGGCGGATGATGTACTCCTTCACCAGGTGCAGGTGGACAACCTCCATGAGCTCCTGGGAGGGCGAGCAAGTGGGGACGCGTGAGCCCTCACCGGTGGGGAGCTCACTACCCTCCCTCGAGGCCTTGAAGCCAGGAGTCCAGGGAGGGGCAGATGCCAAGCAAAAGCGAGGTATGTGTGCATGTGTGCGTGCATGTGCGTGTGTGTGTCTTTTCCAAGTATCTGCACGTTAGCGTGAGTGTCCAGACTGCCCCTCCCGCCCCCGCCCCGCCTTGCCCAGTCACCAGCCCAGCACCTCCTCACCTCCCGGAAACAGTCATGGAGTTCCAAAAACTCAGGCAGCCTCTCGCCCACGGTGGTGATGATTTCCTCCAGGGTCTGTGCGGGGGCGGCCCAGCGGGTCTGCGTAAACCTCTTAAACAGCGGCTGTGACAGGGGAGAGGCAGGATGTCTGGTCACGCCCTGCGGAGGAAGGGCCACCAGCCGCAGACACACGCAGGCTGACACACAGGGTGCAACGCAGGGGCAAGGGGCTCTCGACGACTCCCTGGGGAACTCAAGTCCCCGCTCACAGACAGGAAGTGGAGACAGGGTCCATGTACCCTTCTCCAAGGTCAGCCAGCTGCAGCTCTGGAGCTAGGCAGCCATCTGCCTGCCTGCGGGCCTCTTCCACCGCCCCCTCTGAAATAAATAAATTCCTGCATAAACAAGCGCTTGTGCTTGGCTGGGCCTCTGAGGACCTGTGCCAAGTCACCCAGGGTCACCGCCCGGCCTTCACCGCCCGTGGTCACTGATGGCCGCCTGCCCTGGGTAGCAGGAACAAGGCGGGCAGGCAGGGGACCTCTACTCTTCCTTTCCAGGGACCCCTGCCTCACCCCCTGCCAAAGGAGCCAAGGGCTTTCTGTGGATTTCTTGGCCCAAGCAGATGTGGCAGCGGCCACCAAAGGCTCTGGGCATCACAGCTGGGAGTCGGGCATGGGGACGTGGCACGGGCAGGTGGTGCTGAGGGAGTTGGAGAAAAAGTGTGCAGGCTCAGGATGGGGTCTCAATGCGGGGAGGGGCATCAACGTTTCTCTGCGTGCTCCCAGCCCTGGCAGCCCCTCTGAGGCCAAGCCCGGGCTGAAGTGGTGGGGACGAGGTCAAAAGCCCTCGATGGCCCCCATTGCCTGGGCAGCACGGGCCTCAACAGCTGGCTGCACAAGTGCCAGGTCCTTGCTTCTGCCCTTCCTCACCTCCCGGGGCCCCTCCATCCCCCTCCCCCCACCCCGATGCTAAGCTCAGTGAGTCACGCAGGGAGGGGGGCTCCCACTACCTTCAGGTCCCCGAACAGGCTCTGGAGCAGGATGTCAAAGCTGTGACTCTGGAGCTCACTCAGGGGGGCCAGCAGGTAGCCCGGGGGGTCCTGTGTCTGCCACTTCTGCTGCATGGCTGTCCTGGAAGGACACGGATAGAGGCAGGGTGGTCAACCCAGAGCCCCAAACCCAGGGAGCCCAACGCCCTAGGCAAATCTTCCTGAACCATCTTTTCACTCTAGAACCTTCTGTGACTCCCCATTCCTTGTGGAAACAAGTCCAGGTCATCCCATCTCTGTGCCCCAGGCAGCACCCAGCCTTCTCAGCCCCAGGGAACACGTGCACTTAATCCACATCTGCTTCACAGATGTAACCACTGCGCCTACCTCCTCGGGCTGTCCTTAGAAATTTTAAAATAAGGAATAAACCAACCCACTAGCACTTGATAACGTTTGCTGCTGCTGCCTCAACAGACCCCGGTCAACTCCTCATAGGGCACGCCCATTTTAAGTCCCTGTCTTCGCTTATGCTGCTCCCCCCACCCCTCCGCAGCCCCACCCTCCTCTCCCCTCCCAGCGGCCTTTCCCTCCAACAGGCCAACAGGCCCAGTGGTTCCCGCTCCCACAAACCCCTCCTAGCACCCTTACCGGAAGGACAGGCAGTTGTTGATATTGGCAATGACATTAGCCCTGTAATTTCTCAGCTGTTTGCATCTCTCCAGAAATTCATCAAAGGCTCGCTGGTAGCTGTTGAAACCGGAAGGGGCACATGTTGGACCCGCACAAACACCGGGACAATAGCAGCCTCCGGGCTGCCCACCGGCCTCCCCGGGTCCACAGACTGCTCTTCCGGTTGGCAGGCTCCCTGCAGCGCGGGGAGGGGCTGCTGGCCCCAGAGCATCGTGGAACAGGCTTCACACGCGAAGGCCATGGGATCAAGGCTCCTGCTGCCCCCACTCCTTCCCCCAGATCCCTCTACAGCAGGAAGACTGGAAAGGGGGTGAGGGGCGGGGACGGAGGAGTCCTGGGGAGGGAGGCAGCCAAGAGAAATGCAGGGCTGGAGACCCGGGGCGCCACCAGAAGGGAGGCCAGGACCTCAGTTCCTCATGGGGGGGGGGTCCTTCTTACAGCCGGAGGCTCTGGTGCTGGGAGGGGGTGGGTGGTCAGATCCCCTGAGGCTCTCAGGGGTCCCGGGGCAGGTGCGGAGGGAGAAAGGACTCCTGCTCATAATGACAGACACCCCAGAGGCTGGAAAGGGATACCCATCCGGGACACAAGGTGGGGAGCTGGCTCTGAAAGCAGTGGCTACGCGGACCCCCCATGCACAGGCAGGCGCACACCCACCTCTTCAGGAATGTGGCCAGCTCTACCAGCAGCACCTGCTTTATCTGCGTGCCCAGGTCAAGGGTAATGCTCTCGGCCTTGGCCTGGCTCTGGGAGAGGATCTGCAAGGAGGAAGGTGGGAGCTGAGTAAGAGTCCACCTGGACCAGGACTGGGGAACATGCTGGAACTGGGGCGGGTAGTGCTCAGAGTAGACACGTGCGTGTGCACACGGGGCTCCCAGGGGCGGGGGCCCCGCACGGTGCGCCGCGGATGGGAGCACAGGGGCTGGCTGTGCTACCTGGATGACGTCAATGGCCAGCTCACTGTGGCAGTGGCCGTCCAGCCTCTGGGGAGCCACATCCCGGGCCCAGCGTTGACTCTCTAGCTCCAGGGCACGGGCCATCAGCTCCTTCACACTGGCCTGGGGGAGAGGAGACGCAGGTTAGGGTGGCTCAGAGCCCATCACCCTGCCCACGTGGAAGTCCCTGTCAAGCTCCTTGCCTGCGTCCTGTCTCCAAGCCTCCCCGGGCTTCCTTCCTGCCCCTCCCCCGTCCCGGCGCAGCGCTGGACTCACCATCTCATTGGACAGGAACGTGGCCTCCAGCAGCCGGATCTGCCGGGGGGGCAAGAGGCTCCCCAGCCTCATTCTCTGCAGCTCTCCGGCCAGCTTGGGGCTGTTGATGATGTCGCTGCGGGGACAGGGGGGCCGGCGTGAGGAAGCCTGCGCCCCCTTGGCACCATCACCCCCGCAGGAGCTCACCTTCGCAGCCTCAGACTCTGACAGGCCCAGAACTCGCTCGCCCTCCCCCATCCCTGCTTCTCCATCTCGGACCGAGGGCCCCCTATCTGCCCAGTGTGCTTCGGGCCAGAAGCCCTGGAATCCTCCTGTCTGCTCGGCTCTCTCATTCCCCCAGCGACTCCTACCCCACATACTCGGCTACGTCAGACTCAAGCCACCCAGCCCGATGCCCGGCCGCTACCATCTCCACCCGGCTCGGGGCAGAGGCCTCCTCTCCAGCCCCCTGCCTCCCCCCCTGGTCCCCAGCAGTCCCCCCGCCACCCAGCAGGCGGAACTGCCTTTTGAATCCGACTCAGGCCTCCTCCCTGCCACAAGGCCTCCCTCTCGCACAGATATAATGTGGCTCCTTGGGCAGCAGCCACTGGCTCTCCGCCTCCTCCCGACCGCACCCCCACACTGCACTCTCGGCCTCCTGGCCTATTCCACCGCCCCCAGGCTGGCCCTGCTGCCCCCGGAGGGTGGGTGAGTCCAGGCCGGAAGGGCCGCCCCACCCCAGCTGCTCCACTCACTCCGTGGCGCCTGTGTGGGACCCTGGGTCCCCAGGGACTGCCCAGCCCCAGCACTTCCTCAGGGGCCTTTGTGCACCCGGACACTCGCCCCTCTCCCCATCTGCATCTGGCTGTGTCCCTCTGCTCCCTGCATTCTGGCCCCTCTGGCCACACAGGCCCCCACAGCACCTCCCGGGACTCCTTCTCCCCACGGCTCCGCTCGGCTGGCCCCGCTTTCCTGCTGCACTGACCCCGGTGGGCCCCAGGCCAAACGCCCCAAGGTCACTGGGACAGGAAGACTGAGGTGTAAGTGCCCAGCATTTCCTGGTGAGTCAGGATAAGCAAGAAGAAACTGGCCCGCGGCTGGCCTGTCTCTCCCACAGCCCCTGCCCTATGCCAATCTCTGCCCTACTGCCTCACCCCGCAGGGCCCTTCCTCTGGGCCCCCGCTGCAGGCTGACCCGCCAGCTGAGACCCCTGGCCACCCAGATTTATCTCCGAGACCCTCAGACACTGCTCCCGCTGTCTATACCTCCAGGCTTCCTGCGGGCTCCACACTGGGGGCCAGGGTCAGCCCCCATAGGACCCCCTGGCTTTCCGTGGCCTGGGCCTTTCCACACAGCATGGCCAGTCTCTCCTCACCTGGCGTGTACAAATGACAGATGCGCTCGGGGCCCCACGGAGTCTGGGTAAATCAGAGGAGAGCCGAGGCACCCTGAGGCGCTCTGTTAGCAGAGCCGGCCTCCCACCTAAGGAGCTCTGGCCTCAATGACCAGAACCCAGCTCTGCGGTGGGCTCACTCGGTGACCCGGCTCGATGGCCACATGGCTCTGCTGCACCCCTGGGACTGTCCCATGGCCCGCTGGGTAAATCCAGACGCTGGCAAGTTCTGCACAACTGTCAGAAAGTGTCAGGGTTCGGCCTCAGGCGCTGGAAGATGACTCCTTTTGTGGGGGCACCATTCTCTGCCTTCTTCCAGGCCTGCCCTGTCCCCTCCCTGCCTGCCTCTCTCACTGCCAGCAGCCAGCAGAATTTGGTTCCTCCTCCCTTCCCCTCCTCCTCCTCCACCTGGCAGATGGCTTCCTCAAGTGACTCAGGATGGCCCCGGCCCCTGGCTCCCACGGTCACTGGTCTCCCTGCCACTGCCCTTCCTGTCCCCCTTCCTGCCCGGGATGGTCACCGCCTCGCTCCCTCCTCGGAATGGGAGCTCAGGAAGGAAAGATGAAGTCCCTGCCGTTCTCGGAGGCTCAGTTTCCCCAACAGCGGGATGTGGCAGAAGCCAGGAAATCAAGGGTTCCAAGTGCAAAGCAGACCGAGCGCAGGCGCCCCTCCTCTGAGTGTCTGGGGATCAGACAGCCCCAGGGACTCGGCGCGCAGCCCCCCCGGGGCGCCGCGCCCACTCACTTGGGGTAGAGGTTCTGCGCCCACACCAGCAGCATGTAGGTGTCGCGCTCGCACAGCTCGAACTGCGCCATGGCCGCCAGCTGGGCCGCGAAGTGCCGGTGGTAGCTCTCGGCGTAGGCGGCCACCACGTCCAGCTCGGCGGGGAACAGCGGCTTCAGCCGCTCCACCACGGCCTCCAGGTCCTCCTTCATGGTGCGGCCCATGTGCAGGAAGGTGCGCTCGGCCTCCGAGCGGCCGTCGGGGCCCGCGGCCGGCCGGCGGCCCAGGCGCTCCTCGGCCGCCTCGGCCACGCCGCGCCGCCACAGCTGCAGCCAGCGCCGGGGGCGCGCGACCGCCAGCGCCGAGGCCCCGGGCCCCGCGGGCCCCGCCGCCGCCGCCGCCGCCGCCGCCGCCTCGGCCGCGCGGCGGTCCTCGCGCTCCTGCTCGGCCAGCACGGCCAGCGCCTGGCGCAGCCGCTCGGGCGCCGCGTCGAGGGGCCGGCGCAGCAGGCCGAGCACCTGCGCGCGCAGCAGCGCGTACAGCGCCTCCACCTTGCTCTGGCGCCGCACCAGCTCCTCGGCGCTCTGGCCGCCCGCCGCCGCCGCCGCCTGCAGCTCGCGCTCCAGCAGCAGCAGCGGCCGCGCCGCCTCCAGCCGCCCGCGCTCCAGGTCCGCCTTGAGCTCCTCCACTGCGGGCCGGGGACGCGGGGTCAGCGGGGGCGGCCGGGGTCCCCACCCCGCGGCGCCCACGGGAGGGGACGCGAGGCCCGCCCCCCCCCCCCCAAACCCCCGCTCCGACGGGCCGGGTGGAAGCTAAGGCCCAGCCCGTCTCTCTGCCCTCCTGCTCATCTCAGCGGGATGAGCCCCAGCCCTGCCCGGCCCGGGCCGGCTCTGACCCCGGGGTGCTCAGGCCGCCTGGGGGCCCCAGCCTACCTGTGGGCAGCGGGCCGCCCAGCTCATGCTGGCACTCCGGCCGGCCCTCGGGCTCTGCTGGGCCCGGCTGACCCTTCTTCTTCCTTCCTTTGGTGAAGACGCTGAACACGTTGGCCAGTCCTTTTGGCCTCTTCTTCTTCTTCTTCTTCATAGCCTCGTCTTCGTCCCTGTCCGGGACCCCCTTGGCCTCCAGGGGAGGCACCAGGTCCTCAGAAGAGGCCTCTGACATGGAGGCCTCCGATTCCACCTCTGAGGTGGAGGGCAGCTTCTGGGAGCTTCCGGGGAGGTCAAGAACCCCTCGGCCAGTCTGCTGGCCTGGCAGGCTTTGGAAGAAGGTCATCATCTTCAGCATCACCCAGGCTCGGGCCTGCAGACAGGCAAGGGGAGAGGGAAGGTAAGAGCAGCTGCAGCCACAGGCGCAAGTACACAGCCTCCGCGGCGCGTGAGCCTGCTTGGTCTGTTTTCACCATGTGACCTTCCGGGTCTGGCGATCCTGGCCCAGAGCAGCACGAACGATTCAGCTCCCTCCCCGCACAACCAGTTTCTCAGCACCTGCAGTTTTTCTTCCAGTACACCCCCCCCCCAACCCTCCCAAGACCGCCAGAGGCAGGGAGGAATCTGGGACGTGTCAAATGCCCCAGACAGAGGGGGCCTTCACTTCATTTTGGCAAGTCTTCCCGAGCAAGGAGAGAGGACCGGAGGGCGTGAGTGCCTCCTTCCCCCGTGAGACCCCGGGAGAGGGGGCAGAGCACGGGCCGCTGTGGCACCGCGTAGAGCAAGAACTGAGGTCCAGGAGGGTCATGGCACCGAGGCTGCTCCATCCTCCCCGTGCCTGGCTCTTCTCTGTGTGCAGTCCAAGAGGGAGGCCCTGAGCAGAAGCACGGCGCCCCTGCTGGGATCGTGAGGGGAGCAGAGCCCAGCTGCCATCCTGGCCTCGGGGCTCAGATCTAGAAATCACGTGCCCCCTCAAATTCAAGGGGTGGGAAAGGGTCTCAGAGAGGCTTCCACACGTCAGCAGAGACAAGGGGCCCAATGATGCACCGAGCTATCTGAGGTTACCCAGCAACTCAGACCAGGAGCCAGGCTTCCGGCTCCTGCTCCACCCTGCCTGCTCCAAATTTGGTGACATCGCTGTCACAAAAGTTTCCACTTTCTGGGCCCTCCCCAGATGCCTAGCCCATCTCTTCCTCATTCCCTTCAAGGAGGGGATTTATTATCCTCATTACACAAAATTGACTCAGGGAAATGTGCCTGTGCCAACAGCTTGGGCTTGGAACTCCAATCACCTGGTGCTGCGTCTTCCCACCTCCCGGTCCCCCACCACATCGCAGGCTGCGTAGGAGAGCAGGACCCCCTTGTGCCCAGCATCATGCTCCCCCCCCACCGTGACCATCGTCAGAGCAAGGCCAGTGGAGGATAACCAGCCGGGAACCTGGCTGAGGCCATGAGAGGGCAGCAAGGCAGGCCTGGGAACGGGGGGGGCAGATAGGATCAGGCCTCCCTGATGGCCGGGTTATCCACCACCTGGCATCTGCCCCACCACCCAAGGGTAAACACGAGTTGTGACTCATGGAACACAATGACTTTGACCCACTTCTGCAGCAACCCTGCAAGGCAGACAGGGTGATCCCTCATCTGGGAGAAACTGAGGCGAGGGGGGTCGTGGGAGAGGTGGCTATAAGCCCCTGGCAGGCATGGATCAGGGCTGTCAGGCCCTTCTCACAGCCCCTGCTACCTCCCCACCAGCCCAACTACCCCCAGCCCATCCCTCCAGGGCCTCGTCACAAATCCCTGAGTTTGGCCAGAGCCATCTGGGGGGACAAGTGGCCTGAGTGTCTCCCAAGTGGCTTCACCAAGTGCCCTCAGCAGAGTCCAACACCGCTGGACCTCAGCTGTCTCCCGTGCCCCCTGGGCTGAGGGGTCCACACCAGGGCCAAGCAGGGGGTGCTCTGGGGAGCCCCAAAGCCAAGGTGCAAGGCCACAGGCTCTCCTGCTCCGCCCACCCCCGCCCCAGCGCTCTCCCCCATCCATCCCGCTTCCCTGCCACACAGCCGCGGGAGCTGGTCCAGCGCCTCGAATGGCCAGGCCCCACCTCTGCCCATCAGCTAGGGGGAGGGACGGGCCGCCCTGACAGCAGTGCTGCCCACCAGCCTCACCTCTCCCTGCCTCGTCCGATACCCCCTCGGTGCCCGCACATGCTGGGCTCTATCTGACCTCAGGCCTGGCTCCCGCGGGTCCCCACATGACATCGCTGCCTCCTTGCCTGTGACACAAGATCCCCCTCACCCTTTTGAGGTCCTGTGGCAGCCCCTGTGGCTCGGTCTCGGGACTTGATTTTCAGAGGCGGCTGGTGCAGTGGAAAGCTAAACGGCTAGGAGATCAGCTGCACCTCTCTCTAGCGTGTGGGCAATACCTCCCTACCTTCACCGGCCTCAGTTTCCCCATCTGTGAAATGAGGATGAGGACCCCCACCTCGTAGTGCTGCTGAGAGGAAATGGCAAAACCCCACAGCTATGTGCTGGCCCCTAGCCAGCCTTTGTAAGGGGAGGTTGTCCTTTGTCCCCTTGTCTGTCAAGCCCGCCAAGGCATTGGGGTAGGCCAGAGGAGGGCGGGAAAGGCGTCCTTCAAGCCTGGGCTCTAGGCTGGGCACACTGACACAAGGGGCCTGCTCAGTCATATCATGTGACCACCGCCTGTGGCCCAGCAGTGACCCCCCCACCCGCGGATCCCAGCCTCCCAGCTTCTCCTCAGGCACCGCACACCCCCTTACAATCCTTCCTGAGTCAGGGCTGATGCCCACAGTTTCTCATGGCCTCTGTGCCTGGTTCCACAGCTGTCCCCCCCCGCCGCCCCCCTCAGTGAGGGCAGGCAGAGGAACCTGGCCTAGGTCACAGAAGCCAGCCAGCCGCACCCCCTCAGCCTTCCTCCTGTAAAAGGACCAGAGACCCCTGCGCCTTTCCCCCACACTCCTCCCTCCCTGCCTTTTGCAGGACTGAGCTCTTGGCTGTGGGGCTACCAGATCCGGGTCTCCTGCACCCTGACGCGCCGCAGCGCAGCGCAGGGACCTCAGTTTCCCTAGAAGTGGGGCTGCCGGAGGCCTGGGGCCCTCGGAGCCTTCTGCCCCCTCGGTCCGGGCGCGCCCCGGCCGCTCCGTCGGGGGATCCGGCCGGGAACTCGGGGTGGAGGCGGGCGCGCAGCCGCGCGGAGCGGCGGGGGACAGACGCTGTGCGGGCGGAGGTCACTTACTGCGTCCGGGCCGGGCCGCCGCTGTGGCAGCAGAGCCCGGCGCCGCCTGAAATAGTCGCAGACTCCGCCCCCGCCCCGCCCGCGGCAGGCGCGGAAAACCCGCGGGCGGAGGCGGCCCGCGTCCGCGAGCCCCGAGTCGCGCGCGCCCCGCCGCGGGGAGTGGGGGCGTCGCCGCCTCGCAGCGGTCCGGGCGGGGTGGCCGGTGCGGGGTGGCGGGGCGGACCGGGGTCGGTCTGGCGCTGGCATTGTCCGACCACGGCTTCTGATTGGCTGCCTGGAAGGGGCTCGGGACCACTTTCTCGCGTCACAGAGCCGGCGCCGACCCCGCAGGGTCCCGGGGACCGTCCCCCCCCCCGGTGCCTGTGGCGCGCGAGGCTTGCTCCCTCCGGGTAGCGCGTTCCCGCCTCGGGCACCGGCGCGGCCCCAGGGAGGCAGGGGCGCGGCGCCGCTGGAGGCGGTGGGCCGGGCCGGGGGCTGCGGGGACCGCCAGCTGCCGACCGTGCGCGCTGTGCCGGGGGCTTTGCAGCCGCTCAGCTTCACAAGCCTTGCTCGAGAGGGGGAAATGGCTCAGAAAGGCGACCCACAAGTCTCCCGAGGTTGCACACCGTGTGGCGGGACTCCCGCCGGGGCCCTTTCCCTTTCCGGGATTGGGGCTGGGCCAGCACAGGCTCCGGGGGCACCAGGCCCAGACCCCCACAGCTCAGGCCAGGCCAGCGCTCCTTGCAGCTGTGTCTGACTCGGCTGGCCTTGAGCAGGTCAGACCCCTTTCTGGGCCTCAGTTTCCCTCGAAACCCAGTTTCTCCGTCCCTCTGGGTCTGGGAGAGTGGGGGGCTGTTGCTGGTGAAGAGCAACCGTTGGCGACTCGCCCCCTTCCCCGTTTCTTGTTTTAGGAATTCTTGCCTTCTGGAAAGAGCCAGTGTCATTAAGGAATTCCCCGGCTGGGCACCAGCTTCCCTTTTTACTTCTTGCTTGAGCCTCTGCCCTTGCCAACCTTTTGTTTGCCCCTACCCTTGGTCTCCCCCAACGTGTAAATTCCTGCTCCCCTTGTCACCTGGGCAAAGGTCTCTGAGGCCAGGGAGTAGGGGGTAGGGGGGAGCTGGGGGTGCCCCTTGGGACTAAGAACTTCCTCTTCCTCCTTGGGAGAGGTGGACAAGTACCAGTCTTGGCCTTGGCTATAGATTCTGTCCCTGGGGGGGGGGGCACTCGTGGGGGGGACCTCAGGAAATGTCAGTAAGACAGATTCCACACTCTTTCCCTGAGTCCGGTGGGGGGTTGGGGGTATGTGTGTGGCAGTTTTCAGATGAGCCAACAGAGCCATGGTGCCCCAGGGCTGGGAGGGTCATTCCATTTCCTCCCTAGCGAACAGATTGGGGGGATGAAAGGCCACACCCCCAAGTTCATCCAGCCAGACAAGGGTGAGGAGGGTGGGAACCAAGGGGTTCTGGCTCACCGCCTCCTGTGGCCGCATTGTGCAATCCCCACGCTTTCCTGCCAGACCTCCTCTCCTCACCCCAAACAGATTGGGAAATCACTGGAGAATCTGAAGCTTTCTGGGCCGTTGTGGGGGTGGGGGGCTGTCAGGGACCCCCCCATCCTCATCAGCAGAGGCAGGATGGACACTTCATAGGGCAGCTGCTGCCTGAGCTCCCTCTCCGTGGCCTCACCCTAGGAAGCAGCCAGGGATTGGGAAAAGTTGCCTTCTCCTTTGCGGTTGCACCACTCACTTCCCCTTTCCCTGAGTTGAGATAGGAGGGTCAAGGGTTGCCTACATGGAGCCCCCAACACAAGGGAAAGCCTCTGAAAACAGGGCTGCATAGACGGCCAAGGGATGACAGCCAGTGGGGCACGCGCTCTTCTTATCCCCTCTGGAGAGATGAGGAAACCTCCCCAAGAGGCCAGACACTTCCAGAGAAGGCCAGCCAAGACGTCCACTCTCCGCAGGAAATGAGCATCAGATGCTGGTTGGGAGTGTTCCTGGCCAGCTGCTGTCCCAGTTACCACCTCCCTGGGGGATGAGTAGGGGAGAGCAGGCCAGCTCCACCCGGAAGAGAGGAGTGGACAGCAGGCAGAGGCAGACTGGCATCCGCCCTCCCCAGCCTAGCCCAGAAGTCAAGTGTACAGCACCCGACCAGGAGCAGTGGTCAGCTCCTCACCGGCAACCCCGGGCCCCGAAGCCCAGGACGCCTCCCTTCCCTCTGCTCAGAAATGACAATTGGATGGTTTTTTAAGTTGTGATAAAATACACGGAACGTAATTTCCCATTTTGACCATTTTAGGTATACAATTCAGTAATGTTTCCATTACCATGCAGTATTATGATAGGATTATTTCACCACCATCCATCTCCAGAGCATCCTTCACCTTGCAAGAATGAAACTCCATACTTATTGAACATTAATTCCCCGTTCCCTCTTCCCTGAGCCCCTGGCAATCACCGTTCCACTTTCTCTTTATAAACTGGACTATTCCAAGTAGCTCACAGAAGTGGAATCACAAGAGTATTACTCCTTTTGTAACTGGCTTGTGGCACTCAGCATGCTGCCCCCAGGGTCCATCTGTGTGCAGCCTGTGTCAGACTCGCCTTCCTTTTTTAGATTGAATATTTCGTTGTTTATCCAACATAGTCTGTCACTGGACGCTTGGATTGTTGCTACCTTGTGGCCATCGTGAATGACGCTGCTTTGAACATGGGTGTGCAAATATCCCTTTAAGACCCTGCCTTCAATTCCGTGGGAGGTCAGTTGACGTTTGTCGACCTCCACAGGTGCTGGGCTCTGCTCTACGTGCTTTGCATGCATTCACGGATACTCCCTGGTTACCCCCTTTCCACGGACGAGGGAAACCAAGGCACAGATAGGTCCAGTCATGCGTAGAAGGAGGGTGCAGCTTGCGGCAGGGGCCCCCAGGAGCAAAGGCCCAGGGAAGGGGTGGCGCAGGAATGAAGGGCGGGGATTCACTGGGAAGACCGGCCGGGGCTGGCAGTGCAATGGATTGCCCAGGACCGGGCGTCTAGGGCATTCCAGGATGACACTGAGCCCTTCCCCCACGGCACAGGCCCACTTCCTTTTGTGAGATGACTTGCACTTACCACTGCCCTAACCCCGGCTGTCCCTGACAGTCCTGCTTTTCCCTTTACGTCACTGGCCTGGGACCCTTCCCCACGTCCTGGGGATGCCCCGTTCACCAATGACATTGGGCAGAGCGATTGGATCCCATGTTGACAGATAAGGAAACTGAGTCTCAGAGTGTAAGTGGACACAGAGTTTTGAGGCCTTGAGGCTGTGGTCCCTGCTGCCACCAGCCTTTCGCAAAGGGGGAAGTCATTTGTCGGGGGGGTAACTGAAGATGCACTGGACCTCCGCTGGAGTCTGCTGACCTCCCCAGGGACCACGGGATGGCCAGGACAGCTGACCAGGAACCTCCCTCACAGGGCATGCCCTCCCATGAGGGCACTCAGCAGACCAAATGTTTACCAATAGATAGTGTCCCTCCCATTACCCATGAAGCCCCTCCTCTCCCCGCCTCCCCCAGAGGAAGCCAGGCCACACAGTCCTTTTAGAGTCTGGCAGATGGAGAAACTGAGGCAAGGAGAAATGGCTTCTGCAGGTGTTCCATGAGCCTGGCCCACCTCAAGCCCAGCACTCTTTCAAGGAGTGCAGGGAAGTGCAGGTGGTGATGCAAGACGGTCAAGTTCAACTCCTATCTCTTGTGGCCTGGGGCTGCCCTGGGGCCCTTCTCTGAGTCAGTAGGATTTCCAGGAAAACAGCCGGGAGGCTTGCTCCCCAAAAGGCCCCACTGATGACAGAGGCAAGTCACAGGGCTGGAGCTCTCTGGGAATCCCAGCCCTGCAAGGGCCTGGCCAGGTGAGGAGGAGAGGGAGGCTTCCCTGAAGCCTCTCAGGGCCTGGGCCATGGGAACTCCCCCTCATCCAACTGGCCTCCAGGGAGCTGTGAGCTTCTGGATTTTGGAGATGGAAGGCATGATGATGGGGGCTTAGGCATGAAGACCACCTGGTCCCTGGAGAGCTCCATCACATCTGTATTTTCAGAGCTCCATCACTTACTTTCTGTATTTTCCTTCCCTCAGGCCTCAGTCTTCCCTTCTGGAAATGGAGGGGACACACGCTCAGGAAAGGTTTCCAAGAGATGATGCTTGTAAAGAACTCTGACGCTCCTCTCAGTGAGTGAGCACCGTGAGCCAGGCCCTCACCCCGCACCATATTTGCACTTTCTCTTGTAATGTTCCCAATTCTACGCCTGGAGATAGAACCGATGGAGTAACTTGCTCATAGTCACACAGCAAGGAAGGTGCAGAACTGGGGTTCTGGGCTGGAAGTGTCTGAATCCAGAGCTGACTCTCAGCCCTGCCCGGAACCCACGGGAAGGAGGAAAGCCATAAGTCGCTGAGCACCGCCAGGCCCACAGTGGGTGCCCTGGAAATGGCAGGGCTCTTCGTGACATTCCTCTTCTCCGAGGTCCTGAGTTTTGAGGATTTGAGGGCTCTGGCAATCGGACAGCACTGGGTCCGTCATCACTTGCTTTTACAGGACTGCCCCCGTCCCCAGCCAAGCCACCTCCGGCAAGGGGCTTCATGGACGCCTGACATTTCATTATTCACGGATATTCCTCAGATGAGCATCGCTTTTTACAGATGCCAGAATCCTATGAGGGTCCCTGCTTGCTTCTGGGGAAGGAACAGGGGAAGGGAATATGGAGACATCTCACCTTACAACGTTTTTTGTACTCCCCCCCTCCAAGTTTGCACAGATGTTTATTTTTGTTTATTGTTTAAAACATAATTTATTGTCAAATTGGTTTCCATACAACACCTAGTGCTCATCCCAACAAGTGCCCTCCTCAATGCCCATCACCCACTCTCCCCTCTCCCTCACCCCCATCAACCCTCAGTTTAACTTTTTTGTACTTTTACAATTCTGAGCTATGCGGGGTTGCCTGGGTGGCTCACTCAGTTAAGCATCTGACTCTTGATTTCAGCTCAGGTCATGATCTTACAGTTCGTGAGTTCAAGCCCCGCGTCAGGCTTTGTGCTGACAGTGCTGAGCCTGCTTGGGATTCTTTTTCTCTCCCCCTCTCTCTGGCCTTTCTCTCTCAAAATCGGTAAGTAAACGTTTTTAAAAAGTCTGAGCTATGTGATTGTGTCACTATCCAAAACATTATGAGAGTTAAAAATGAAAACATTTCACAAATAAATGTGAGCTATATGTGCAGAGTAGGGGACCCCCGGGGAGGAGGGCAGTCTTTGCAATGACTAGTCCAGGCCCCACGGGCCCCAGGAGAGAAGTGGACCCAGGGGTGGGTTTGACTTGTCCAGCGTTCAGTCCCCTCTAACCATTTCACCAGGGGAGGGGCGCCGGGGGGGCCGGGCTGAGACCCTGGCGGGGCTCCCCCCGGGGAGCTCCCGGCTCCCAGCACATCTCTCCTTCAAGAGGGCCTGGTCCTCCCAGACCCAGGCCTTGGTGGCGCTGGGCCTCGTCAGCAGCGCCCTTAGCGGGCCCTCAGCACCAGCCTGCTGCCAGCGCCACAGCCGGCGGGGGAGGGGCCGGCCTGACCTGGGAGGGGGCCCCCTGGCTTGCTGGAGTTCCCAAAGAGACTTTGTGGTAGCAAAGGAAGGAAGTGACAAGAGGGCTGCAGGGGAACTCTGGGAACACTGCGGCCTCTCCCCTCCCCTCCTCTGCAGGCGTAGGGGCCTGTCTGGACGGCGTGCTGGCCCCCGTGCACTGGGGCCCCATGTGGTCAGGGGCCTGGAAGGAAGGGGCTGGGTTCACCAGGCAAACAAGGAAGAGAGGGAGGCTGTGCGGGGACAGAGGCGACACTGACGGCCATCCACAGTGCGCCCTTGGTGCCCAGATCTGGTCTCGTGCACTGCGGCCTCCCTCACCTGGTGCTCTCCCGAACTGCAGGCCAGGAGACCGAGCCTCAGGGAGGGAACGGCCCCCATTACCAGTGAGGAGGGCAGAGCGGACGCCTGAACGCACCCCTGCTTGGTATGGCCCCGGGGGCTTGTACAGCACAGCCCTCTCGAGGGGAGCGGGGCCCACACACGAGTCCCAGGCTGAGCTAGGGCTGGACTCCTAGGGGACACTCACGTCCCCGCCCGTTACCCCAGGATTGTCCCGGGGCTGGCAGAAGCACTGGCAGGCTGTGGCTCATCAGTCCTCGGGCCCGGGCTCTGTGCCTTGGGCAGGGTGGCCCTCCGCGTGTTCTCACCGCCCTCCCCAGGTTGGGCCAGGGTCCCCACAACTTCTCAGAGCAGGCCTTGTTTCAAGAACCTGCAGGGCTCGGGGCCAGAGACCAGAAGCAACCCCCAACCCAGGAAGGAACCCCAAGAAATGTGGGCACTGAAGGAAGCCAAGCTGAGCTGGGGAGGAAAGAGAAGGGAGCTGTGCAGGAGAAAGCGGGTGGCCAGACAGGGACGGGACCAGGGACCAGCTGGGAGGGCCCAGGACCCGAGTTTTAGGGGCACATCGGATGTCCTGCTCCACCTGAGGAATGCAGACCCGGGGCACGGCCCCTCCATCCCCAGGCACATTCCAGGAACACACATGCACACATGCTTCCTTATCAGCCAGACAACCTGGCCCGCAAGTCCGGAAGCCTCTGAGGGCCGGCACCCCCCCAACTTGGCCTGGACAACAGGATGGCCAACGAAAGGCTCTAGGCTCCCTGCAAGGCCTCGCTGGACCTGGCGGGCTGGGAGAGCTGGGGGCTCTGCAGCAAAGCCGTCCACGGCCAGACCGGTGCCCCCAGGCTGGCCCACCTCCGGGCCCCAGCCTTCCCAACTGCACCCTCGTAGGAGCTGCTGCCCGGCCTCCCGCCCAGCTCAGCTCGGCCTCGGACAGCCAGCCCGTCTCCAGATGCCACTGGGCTCGCAGGAGCACACGAGGCATACATACCCGCCTGGGCACGAAGGTTCCTGCCAGGAAAATCTGATTTCCTGTCTCCAGGCCCAGACACACTCAGGAAGATGGCCCTGGGTCTCAGCCTGAGTCCTTTCCACTGCAACCAGGAGCTCCGTCAGCGAGGGGCTACTGCACTTTGCGGCCTCTTCCCAGCCTCCTTCTGGGCATTCTCCCTACTCGCCGACCCCACCGGCCTCGGGCTTTGCTATCACTCAGAGGTCCCTCACTCCTGCACCAGGACCTTTTTAACCTTTGTTCGCAGACTGTGGCCTGGCCAGGCCCTGGGGACAGGGGATTATAGGAGAGCCAGGGATCTGGTTTTCTGGCTGGCTCGTACTTAACCCTTCCCAGCCTGGGAGGCACAGACAGCACCCCCATTTCACAGCCAGGAAAACAGAGGCATGGAGAAGTAAAGGAATGTGCCTGCAGTCTCATGACTAGAAGGTGGCAGAGCTTTCCTGCAGCCTGCCTTGGGAACCCAGCCCCAGGGCTTCAGCAGGGGGGGCCAGGCCTGTTAGGGGCAGGGGCTGCCAGGGGAGATTTCCGTGAGGAGACTGGGTCTCAAACACGGGGTATGGGTTCCCTAGGGAGAACCTGGCCAGGACCAAATCAAACCTTATATGCGCCCCCCCGCCCCCCCTCCGCCTTGGACTCACCCAGGCCACTATGGCTACTGAGGTCAAATGTGGAGTCAGGCTGGCCTGTCAGTCCCTGCCCTCCCTGGGGAAAGAGGTGCCCCTCTGATACCTCCCTTTCCCCTGGCTGTGAGGGTCTCAGGCTATCTGTGCTGGGGCCTGGTATGAAGCAACCTCCACGCTCTGCTGGCCTCAGTTTCCCCACAAGAGAAAGACAGAGAACTGCCCATCAGTGTCAACACCGGAAAACACTGTGTCCCCATCCTTGGCCTGGAGCCTGGGAGCCCAAACCACTCCTCATCCGTATTCCTGCCCCACCCGCCCCACCCCACTGCATTCCCTGCGTAGGGAAGTCTGGACACCCCCTGGGCCTCCTGCCTGCCCCACGCCTGACCCCCATGTATCCACGGAGGCGCTGCCCCTAGTACCTGCTCCCGCTCCCTTCAGCACCCCAACAAGACTCAGTTCTCCAGCCTTGGTGTAGGCTTGTGGCAGACCTGCCCCTGGCTGTCCACAGTGCCGGGAGGTGGGCCTAGAAGGAGCTAGGAGAGTCAGACCCCCCACCTGCCTGGCCCTGCAGCCCTTCAGAACTCTCACCCTGTCCTTGGGAGACTCAACTTCACTGGGTTCTTAGAACCTTGGCCCACCTGCAGTTCCTTGCCCCCCACCTCTGCCAAGGTCAAGGTCAGGCTCGTGGGGCTTTGCTGCAGAGGGATGGGTGGGGAAGTCATCAGTCACTGCCTTATTCAGTGTCTCTCCACCCTCCCGCCCCCCACACACACCATCTCAGCACTCAGCCTCCCTGGCAAGCTGGAGGCTGCCAATGCAAATGGGTTTCCCAGTAGCCTCGCCAGAGGCTAGAGTCAAATTTCAGTGCCAGCTTTCTGGGAGAGAAGGACAGGGGGGAGGGGGCGGGTAACAGGTGCACACTGGAGCAATCTCCTTGCAGCCCCGCCTGCAGAGCTGAGGCCGGCAGGATCACCCCACCCCGCGCACCCCGTGGCTCACATCTGCCCTGCACCAGTTCTACAGCTTTCACTGCTGGGAAGTCCCTCTCACATGTAACCCAAATACTTCAGGCCACAGTACAAGCCTTGGCCTTTTCTTGTCTCCTAGGGGCCTAGGCCTGTTAGAACGGGACAGAACAGTGCCCACCCCTGCTCGGTGAGACTCACTTGGCACATGAGGCCAGTGCACCCAGGTTCCCGGGGTTGAAGACTATTTTCCTCTGCAGCCACAGCCACAAGCCCCCCCAGCTCTGGGCCTGCCTCAGTCTCCCCATTTCTACAATGCACAGGAAAGGACCATCTACCAAGTGGAGTCACCAAAGAACCTTCCATCCCAACCCCTTGGTACCTGGACACCCAGACCTTCTGCTCCCGGCCAACTTGGCCCTGCACCCTCTTCAGGGAAGCACCATTTTAATTCACCTTTATTTTAAAAATAAATACTCCGTTTCACTTTCAGACTGGGGGTGGTGCCGGACATAGGCTGGGAGGCCTTCCCTGTGGGCAGGGTTGAACCTCAGCCGCCCCCAAACACTCCCCCACAAATGCCTGAAATGCCTCTCTTGCTGTTCCTTCTGGTAGGCAGCCATGCGTGGCTGAGGAGAGCATTGCGTGATTATGGGCTTCCAGGCTGGGGGCCAGGCTGAGAGCACCTCCCTAGGGTCCTAGCTGGGAGCTTAGTGCCTAGGAGAAGGTGCTCACCCTCTGGCTAACGCAGTCCCCCACCTGAGGCCCACCCCCTCTCAGACCGGGAACATTAGATGCAGGTGATCAGCAGGTCCACGGAGGTAGGCACTTGGATCTCCTCGAAGAGCACATGGCTTCCAGAAGCCCCGGAGCCCTCTGCCTTGGCCGCAGCCCTCAGCAGGTGCTGGGCCTGCTGCAGGAGGCGCTGGTTGCGACGGCGGCCGAGCCTGCGCAGCGCCAGGATGGCCACCACGTGGTCCCGCCTGCAAAGACACATCCCTTTCACTGCAGGCCTGGCATCTCCACAGCGCTTCCAGCCTGGAGTGAGGGGAGCCCCTGGGCGCAAGTGGCAGGTGCACCCAGCATTCCTGAGCCTGGCCTGAGAAGGAGGGGAGCCAGGAGGGGCAGAGCCCTGGACACTCTGACTGGGACTGGAAGGAAGGGGAGCTGGGTAGGGAGGGGGAGGGGCATGGCCCTGGGGGAACACAGCCTAAGCAGAGATTCAAGGAACCGTGGAGTGCGAGAAGTGAGTCGGTCTCAGGAAGAGCGGGTGCAGGCCAAGAAGCCTCTTACTGTGAGCATTGTGCAGGGAGCCACAGACAGGCAGCAAGGAGAGTCCGCCTCCAGGAAGTGGCGGTAGAGAAGGGTGGGCAGCCCCGGGTAGGGCAGCCCCAGCGACCAGGGGGAACCCCCGCAGCACTGTGGGGGGCGGGGGTAGTCACCTCCGGCCAAAGGCCCTGTCCGGGCTGGGGAAACGGGCTTTGCCCCGGGCTCTCTGCGGCCTCCCCATCCCGGAATCTCCAAGGCTATAGAGAGATTCAGGCTGGAATTTCCGCGAGTTCGATGACTCACCATCCCCCCCCCCAAACTCCCCCCGAACCCCGGGATCAAAGCTTCTTTCCTCTTGGCCGGGTCTCAGGATCTCAGGCTCCCAGAAGGGCTTTTTGGCAAGGGGGCCGAGCCTCCCTTTCAGAGTCCCGGACGGGTACTTGTCCTCGTCCTCGGGCGCCTGAGGAGAGGCCCGACCCCCCTCACGCTCTAGAGGCCTCGGGATCCCGAGGCACCTAATGCCAAACCGAGAACAGCGGAAGGCGGGGCAGCCCCGCTCCCCCGCCCCGCCCCCGCCCCGTGCGCGGACGACCGCCCGCACCTGCGCACCCGCGCACACGAGCGCTCGCCGCCCGCGCCCCGCCCGCGCCTCGGCCCAGCTCCGCATCCACCGCCCACCCAGAGCCGCTGGGTCCCTTCACAAGGCCACAGGCCCCCGACCCCGGGCCGGCGGCGCCCAGGGAGGGAGCGGGTGGGGCAGGACCTGATGTCTGGGTAGCTCCCGATGAGTGTCTCCAGGTGCCGCCCGATGTCGTCCTTGGAAGTCTCCCCGAGAATGTCAGCAACGCACGGGATAGCCTGGCCCAGCCACGTGGCCTCTGAGCCCTGCGCGGAAAGGGGGCCCCTGGCGGCATGGGCCTCCTCCGGTGGGGGCCGCCTTGCCGCCCCTGCCTGTAACCCGGATGCTAATGCACCGTCCCCGCTGTGACTGCCTCCCGCACGCGTGGCGTTAGGGGGCTCGGCTCTTGGCGCTGTGGACGGAGCCGCAGCACGATCAGAGATGTCTTCCGGTCTCTGCCCAGATGGGTAAACCGAGGCCCGGGCCTGGAAGTCCTGCCGGGAACCCTACAGCGTGTCTGCACCCGGAGGAGGTGCCCCGGGCCCGGATCCGAAGGCCCGGGGGGGCGGGGCCTCCAGCAGGCCCCGCCCCCTGGCTGCTCACTCCCAGACTATATGCAGATATATGCAGATTGTTCTGCCTGGCCCCGCCCCAGCCGTGCCAGACCTCCCAAACCGTCCGGTGTTGACGGAGAGTGGGGAGAACCCGCTCTGCCAAAGCTCGCCCCAGGGGCCTCTTGCGGAGGCCCTCCCCCCGAAATGAGAATAGAGGGTGCCAGGGGAGGCTCCTCAGGCCAGAGGCCCTAGGAGGAGGCTAGCACTGGGGACAGGCAGTCAGTCGATGCTCCTACCAAGCCCTGGAAGGTGTCGCCAATGGCCTGGGCGTCGAGGCCCATCTTCTGGGAGCCAGTCATGCGCTCGACACCGCGGAAGCGCTCACGAGGCCTCAGCACCTGCGCCAGGTATTCGCGGACCACGAACCGGTGTGCCTCCTGCAGAGTCTCCTGGGCCATCCGGGACCAGCGTCAGAGTCAGAGCCCCCGGCCCTAGCCCTGGGCATGCCCCCACCAGAGCCCTGTCCCCTTGAGATACCTGTGCCCACAGTGGGGCCACATGCTCCAGGTGGTGGGCGAAGGCCACCACTTTGTCCATGAGGGGCTGCAGCACGTCCTGTGTCAGCCAGGCCTTGGTGCACAGGACCCTGAACAGCGGCTAGGAGCAGAGGGGACAGGAGTCTTCTAACCCTCTCCTCGTCCCCTAGCCTCTCTCCTCAGAGCCGGTGCATGGCTCCCAACAGGGGTGTTTCAGGCCGAGGGACAATCGTCACCAGGAAGAAACTTGGGGGGGGGCTAGCTGACACCCTTCTAATGTCACCCGAGTTACATCTCCTCTCTCAGCCACGAGTGTCAACAGGCCTTTTGCAAGAATGACTCCTCCGGGCCCTGAGCACCAGGGGACAGGGTTTGAGTTCAAGCCTCTAGGCAGGCCTTGCTTAGGGGAGCCTGGGGAGGCCTTGAGGGACTGGGTGAAGGGTCTGGTTTCTTGAACCCATCCTCTCTGAGAGGCAGAGCCTGATGTAGGTAGGCGTTTCCTGACCTCACTGCACAGCTAGGGATTTATCTGGGTCCCTTGCCCACACCTCAACACACCCCCCAAAACTGCCCCTGACATAAGTGAATGCTAGGACTTGGACCCCCAGGCTCAGGGCGCAGGAGCACCCGCTGGGTGTGGAAAGCAGGGCGACAAGGGCCTGCCCCACTCACCTGCACATCACACTGCAAGCCCTGGAGCAGCCGCTTCTGGAAGACACAGATGGCTGTCACTAGAGGTTTCTCCAGCTCTTCAAAGGTTCCTGGGAATATGGCCAGAAGTCTGGTCCTGGGGAGGGGCCAGGACAGGAGATGGAGTGGGCAAGGAGGGGCAGGTTGTAGAACAAGTTCCAGTATACAGCCGTGGAGGCCAGGTGCCATTCACTTAGACTATAGTGTGAAGGGCAGCCCACGGGGCTGCACAGTAGTAGTAGTAGCCTGAAGGCACAAAGCCCCGGGAGCTGATCACAGAGGGTAGGTCAGCAGGGTGATGGTGGTGGCCCCATGCAGAGCAGAACTCCCCTGTTGCGTCTCTGGACCAAACCTCCAACTGTCTTGGTGATGAGACAGCGCAGCCCGGCCATGACTGGCACAGAGGCCCTCCTTTGAGCCTCACAACTGTCTCTCTGAAGGTGACAATGTCCCCATTTCACTTTTGAGGCGACTGAGGGCCAGGCTATGCCCAGTCCCCAGAACAGGGACACAGAAAGGCAGGCTCAGTTTCCACCAGGGGCTGGGCCGGAGGCTGTCTACCCAGGGGTCAGAGAATGTTTCCTGGGGCTGAATGAACAGACCAGCTGGCACACATGAGGGGTGAGAGAGTGTTGGAGAAGCGGTCCTCATCATGGTCGCACTCTGGGTTCAGGCCCCAAGTCCAGCACATACTGGATGGTGCATGATGGTGGCCAAGAGGCATTTCTTTGCTGAGCCTCCACTTGCCCCGTCCATGGGGACGCGACCCTCGGGATGAAATACATCAGGCGGCTAAAGCCCCAGCACAGTGCCTGGGTCCCAAGTGCTCCCAAAAAGTGAATACGGAATGATTCCTCTAAGGCACTGAGTCCCCACACAGCCCTAGGGAGCAGGTGCTCCAATCTCCATTTGACGGTTGACAAAAAGAGGCACAGAGGGGGAAGTGACTTATCTCTGGTGGGCAGGTGGCAGAGGTGGGATCGGAGCCCAGACCGGAGGCTCAAGGTCCATGCCTTGCAGCAGCTGGTGCATCCACAATGTGGGGTGCACCGAAGCCTGCCCTGCTGGTGAGGGCACAGAAGGGGGGCAGCCACTGCCTGCAGAAAGGGAGGGCATCTGCCTTCTGGGGGCAGAGGGACCCAGGTCTCACCCTCAGGGTAGTGGGGAGGAGGCGGGAGTGTAAGGGAGGGCTACCCAGAGGAGGGGGTGTCCCTAAAAAGGAAGCCGGCGAACTTGGATGAAGGGAGGAAAGAAAGGAGCCCAGGGCGGCTGGGGACACACTGGGCAGGCAACAGGCGGGAACTGGGGCAGCGGGAACTTCTCAGCCTCTGCTCAGCGTTGAAACTCCCTGCATCTCTTCCAGGGCCTCACCCCCGCAGGGCGGAGGGAGAACTTCCAGCCGGGGAGAGAGCGGAGAGGGGGGCCATCTAGGGAGGCTTTCTGGGAAGTCTCTCCAACGCCACCCGCCGGGCTCCAAGTCCAGACCATTCCGTGCGCACGGGCCGCCACGGGAGCCTACTGCGCCCTGGTTCCCGGAGCTCGCATGCCGCCTGCTGGCCGCGCCAGGCACCTCCCTGCGGAGGCGCAAAGGAGACTCACCTAAGCTCCTCGAAGGCGTTGATACAGGCGCCCAGATGAGGTTCGCTCACCGCCTCCGATTGCAGAAAAGCCTTTTCAAACCTGGGGGCAAAGTATGCAAAAGCCTTAGGGACGCTTACCTATCCGTGGTGCTATGACCCGGGGTCTGCTTCCCTCAGGTCTCTACCCAGACCTGGGGCCTTACAACGAGGCTCCTCTCTCTCATCTGTCCCTGGATCTCGGACTTGGAGCAAACAGGATGGCCCTCACCCCGGGACGACCACCATCCCTACCCTGGTCACTCCACCACCCCACCCCGGGCCAAGGATGTCCCTGCACCTGGCCAGAAAGAGGCCGAGCGCCCGTGAGCAGATGCGCAGGGTGGTGGCCTTCAGTTCCGCAGAGATGGCACCAGCTGCCTTCACGTGCTCGGCCACGAGCTGCAAGGATGCCACGCGCTGAACCCACGCCGAAGCCCAGATCCCACCTGATGCCCCCTGTCCCTCACCTGTGGCCCAGTGACATCTCCAAGCTGACCTGCTCTCATGGTCTCGGCTTTAGCTTCCAACAGCCTCCCAACCCCCCACATCCATAGGCCACTTGCTAAACTGGGCATGGTGTCCTGGCATTCCCAGCCTGGCTGTGCGACCCAGGGTCCCTGATTCCACCCAGGTGGGGCCTTGGGCTCTTGTCTAATGGGGAAGGGAGGTCGAGACCCGACTGTATAGCTCTGGGTGTCCCCAACCTTGAAGGGGACCAAACACCACCTGTGGCCCAGACACACATCCCCCCTCCCGAGACTCACCATGTGGATGTCGATGGACAGCGGTGTGTGGTAGAGGCCCTGGAGCACATCGGGGGCCTCGACGGACACCCAGCGACTCTGCTCTAGCTGCAGGATGCCATCGAAGCAGCTTGTGATCTTGGTCTGTGCAAGGTGGGGAAGGGGGCAGAGTGAGCCCCTCCCAAGAAAGAGGTCCGGGTTCCCCTGCGTCCGGAGCCCGTTCACGCGCCCTGGGAGAAACTGGCCCACCCTGCTGGGGCCCAGGCCCACGCTGAAGGCCACAGGGTGAGAAGTGGCTCTCCCCTGAGCCAGGACCACACACTCAGGGTGATTCTGGGCTCCACCCTTCCCCACAGTGAGGCAGCCACGTTCAACCTGGACAGCGCCCCTCGGGCCTGGCCCTGCCCTGGCCTCACCTCTAGGAAGCTGGTGTAGTCGCTCTCCAGGCGTGCCCACACGGCGGGTGCCAGGAGTGGGGGCAGCGGCTCTGTGGACAGAGTGAGGTCCGGGGCACCCAGGAAGTCAGGACTGGAAGGCAGGGTAGGGGCTGAGGGCCTGGGCCGGGCTCTGACACACCAGCGGCTACCCTAATTCCCCCCTGGCCAAAGCCTCAGCCCCCAAGCACCACACAGCTTCAGGGACCTGCCTCTCTCCAAGCCCCACCAGGGAGGTGCAGAGAGTGATGGGTACCTGCCCAAGGCCACACAGTAAATTAATGAGCCCAGGAGTGTAGGCACCCTCCTCCCACCCGCTCTCTGGTCTTCGCAGCTGAAGAGTGCTCAGTGCCAAAGGTAACCCACCCCACCGCACCCCACAGGGCTGGAGCTGGGAGCAGGTGCCCATCCAAGGGGAAGAGTGGGGGTGAAATCCAACCCATGTCAGGCACCTCTGAGCTGCAGTTGTGTCCTGCCGGGGTGGGGTGCCCTTTTCTAAATGCTCAAAGGCATCCTGAGGACTACAGAGGCCTCGGCCTGGGCTCCCCGTCGGGAAGCAACCTCCCCTCAGGTGCTGTCGGCTCGCGGGAGCGGGTGCATGGGTAGCACCGTAGGAAAACCCCTGTCTGGGGACAGAGTACCGAGGCCCAGACCAAGAAAAAAAGAACGTCAAAGTCCCCGGGGTCTCTGACGCCCGTCCACCAGCCCTCTCCCGGGAAGAAAGAGAGAAAAGGTGCCCTGCGCGCCCCCGGGTGGGCGATCCCAGCCCCTCCCTGCCCCTCTGGGCGCTCCGGCCGGGGCCCCACCTGCAGTAGACGTTGGCGGCCCAGTCCAGCAGGACGTAGAGCTGCTCGCAGCCCCGGGCGTCGCGCGCGAGCTCCTGGAGGCGCTGGGCCACCGCGTCGTGGAAGGCGCGCAGGTAGGCTTCCCACGCCGGGAGGCCGGCGGCCGAGTAGGCGGGCTGCACCTCCCGCCGCACCCTGAGCAGGTCGCCGCGGACCAGGCCGCCGAGCTCGGCCAGGAGCTGCGCCAGGCCCGACGCACCCTCGGCCGCCGCGGGGGCTGCCCGCGCGCCCGCCTGCCGCACGCGCTCCCGCGCGCTCCGCCGCACCGCGTCCTCCCAGAGCTGCCGCCAGCGGCGCGGCGTGAGCAGGAAGTCGCCGTCGGCGGGCGCCGCCGGGTGGGCCTCCTCCTCGGCGCGCACCACGCGGGCCACCTCGGCGAGCGCGGCCGCGCCCGCGCCGCCCGCGCCCAGCGTCTCGCGCACGACGGCGCCGATCTCCGCCGCCAGCCCGTCGTAGTGCAGGCACACGTCCATGGCGCGCCGCGCGAAGCCCGTGGGGTCCTGCTCGAAGGTGCCCGAGGCCTTCTGCGCCACAAGCCGCGTCTCCAGCTGCCGCAGCTGCTCGAAGGCCGCGAGCAGTCGCCGCTCCGTGATGAGATCCGCCACAGATTTGCCTTGTGCAAGGGCAGGCAGGGAGAGGGGCGGTGGGGGGGCTTCGTCGGACCCTTGGCCCCAAACTAAGACCCGGGGGGCCCTGTTCTCGCCCATCGGAGCCGGGCCGCCCGGCCACAGAGCTCCACTGAAGTCTGCTCCCGGAGCAACGGCCCCCACCTGCCGGGATCGTCCTCGGAATCACTCGTGGAGAGGGGTATCCCCAAGCCCCCCGAAACCTGGCTGAAGACAGCAGGTGGGATCAGGCCCTGCCTTCCCGGCCTTCAGCCCCTACCTTCTCCCAGGCTCCCACCTCCACCCCCGGCTCTGCTGAGCTGGGCCTGGTGGCCTCAGTCGCAGCCTTGACTGCAGGGCTGTTGGGGTCAGAGCTCCGGCTGTGCGCGCCCCCCGGTCCCTGCGCTTCTTGCTGCCTCCCCCCCCCCCCCGCTCTGGGCCCGCCCCCAGCAGCCCTCCCCCAACACCTGCAGCCGCCCCTTCGGGGCCCCGGGGCCAATGTGTCCTGCGCCCGCAGCCCCCCGTGACCTCCCCTCCAGGCACGTGGCTGCCACACACCCTCCGCGACCCTGTGCTCTGAGAGGGCCCCGCCTTGTCCATCACTGTAGTCTGGCCAGGGGCCTGCCTGTGGAAGGCTGTGGGGAGGTGAGGGTTCTGGGGTCCTACAAATGTGGGTTCAACTCCCATTTCTCCGCTTCCTGGCTGTGGGATGTGAGGCAGACCACTTAACCTCTCTGAGCCTCACTTCGCTCACTCTGGCCTCTCTGAGCTGCCCAGGGGATGCTCCCCTGCTTGAAAGGCTGGGAGAATGTAAAATGCAATTCTGCGCAGGGGTGTTTGGGGGAACTGCCGGGAAGCCTGGCCTCTGCGGCCCCCTCTCTGCCCTGTTTCCTCCCATGCTCAGTATTCTTTGTGAAGCTCTCACCTTCCTCTTGTTCTGGTTCCTCAGGCCCCACCCTGGTGGTTGACAGCCCACTGCCACCGTCCGTGATGTCTGAGGGCCCCTCTGGGCTGTGGCCCCCCCGTGGCGCAGCAGCGGGGCCGCCATCTAGGGAGCGCCGGAAAGGCCGCAGCAGGAACCGGGAGCTGCGTTGCAGCAGGCTCGGGTCCTCCCCGGGGGCCTGGCCCAATGCCCGCCAGCTTGCCCGGGAGAAGGCCCGCCGAAGGGTGCCCAGGCCGGGCCGAGTGTCCTCGTGGTGGGTGCTGGGCGCGTCCCCCTTGCTTGCCTGCTGAGCACCCCGCACTGGGGTCTGTGCCTTCTCCGACTCCTCCGGGCTGTGCAGTTCCGGCCAGGAGGTCACCGTCTCCGGCAACGGCATTTTGGCAGCAGGAAAGCTGGGGATGAAAAGGGGTCTCAGGAGGCCGGGGTGGGGGAGACGGCCCTGGGGAATGGGCACGGGAACCTCGTGAGGGCCTGGGAGGCCTGGAGGAGCCCAGTGGCTTGCCTGGGTCAGAGAAGCGTCTCCCAGGAGATGACCCCCAGGCTGTCTCATGGCCAGAGCTCCATTCATGCCAGACTGCAGCTGGCACTGAGATGTAGGCAGATACTTCCTTCTGGAAAACTCCCTGATACCGCCTTCCAACGGGTATCCCCCCGGTGCCCACCCTCACTGGTCCTGCCAGGCCAGAGCCTCCCACCCTCAGACTTGGAGAGGGGAGTTGAACAGGCAGATTCTGGGGGCACAGCCGAACCCGCAGCCCACAGTCCCCAGGGCTGGGCCCAGCAACCACATCCAGGATTTCCTGGACCTTAGGTCCTGAGACCTAAAATGTCCACTCTCCCCACCCCCTAGCACTCACTCCCCCTTCCCCCAAAGCCCTCAGCTCACCCCCATTCAGCCCATCAGGCCCAGCTGCTTCTGCTCAAAGGGGAGCTCGGAGAACTCTCCGTGTTTAGACCTGGAGGGAGGCAGGGCCAGGCTTCGGGGTCTCTGGCCACCTCTGGCTGCCCCTGAGGCTGCCCCAACTTATCCGCTTATCCGGGCCTTGCAGCCCTGTGGGCGGAGGTGGTGGGAGGGGCCACAGGTCTATATTTAACCAGGGCCTGGGGGTTCCCAGGCTGTTCTGCACTCATTGCATCTCCCCACCACCCATCCTGCTGTGATCCGGCCGCTCCCCTATAAGGGGTGGTGTGGGAGGCCCTAGGCCATGGAAGTGCAAAGCTGGGGCGGCCAGGCCCCACCCGGGGCTCCAGGCCCCACCTGGGCTGCACCCACACTCCTTTCAACACAGCCCAGTGGTGTTTGATTTTCTGGCTTTAGGTTAAGCTGGGGTGGGAGAGAGGAGAAAGATTTCTTAGGCTGCTGGGACCTCCCGCCCACCCCATCAAGAGGGTGTTGTGTTTGGGGATGGGGGCTGTACTAGACCAGCAAGATCTTACTTTAGCCTTGGAGAAAGCAGCCGAAAGGAGGGCTGGACCTACTGAAGTCACTGGCCAACCAGAGGCCAGAACCCCCAGCCCTCTCCAGGCTGCCCCATCCCTGGGACAAAGGTCAGCACCTGACCCTTGGCTGACATTGGGTGGGACACCTCTCCCCAGGCCCCCATTTTGCCTTGGGTGGGATGACATTGGGATAGGCAGAGCCCAGACCCTCATCCACCCCCCTACGCCCTCCAGTGATGTCTGTCCAGGGGTCAGACATGGAAGGGGGCAGCCGAGGCCCGCTTTCCTCTTCCCAGATGCCATCTGACAGCTGGACGGGCCTCACAGAGAGGGGCAGGCCCAGGTGACTGATGAGGCCTTATCTGCCCCTCCCAGGCCACAGGTCTTTGTCCTCTCCTGGCACCGGGACTCAGGGACACTGCCCTGACTCAGACTAACCCACACACGCATGGAACATGGTCACAAGAGCTCTTTGCACCCCCCCCCAACTCCCCTCTCCCTGGTGGCCCTCAGCGTCCAGCAGGGTCTGGGGGATGATGAAGAGAATCATCTGGGCCTGTGCTGTGCCCAGATGTGCTTCAAGCTCTATCACCAGGGGACGTGGGGAAAGGACAAGTGGGCCCTGCCTTGGATGGGTGGAGCTTACACTTAGTAAGCACCTACTGTGTGCCAGGCCCACAGCCTGGAGCACACAGATGCCCGTAATAACAAAGCTGTAAGATGTCATTTCATTTCCTAGAAGCGAAGACAGGCTCAGAAAGGGGCGGGGCCTTGCCTCTAGTCACACAGCTCTGGGCTGGGGAGCCACAGCCAACCCAGGCTTGTGTAGAAAGGGGAGCAGAGGCTGGGCTCCCGCATTTCCCAGTGCCGTGAGCCAGGGCTGCTGCCCGAGGACCCATTTCCCCCAGCCGAGGGGCCCGCTGTAGGGACAGATCTCAGATGCCAGGACGGGGGTCTAGAGGCAGATTCTGGGGGAAGGAGAAGCAGCTGGCAGTTGGGTCTTATGTGAGGCACAGAAGCAGATGGGTGCCCCCAGCCTGCTCAGCCACCCGCGTCCAGAGCTAGTCCCGCCATGAAGGCCCACCGAGGCCTCAGGCCCATCTGGCAGCCACCTCCGGGCCTGCTCCGTTTCCCAAGCCATGGTTGACCTTCCCACAGCACAAGCCAACCAGCTCACTCGCTTGCTTTAAGCCCTTCCGTGGCTCCCCACAGCCCCGCACCGGAAGCCCCCCTATCCCGGACAGAACTTTCTCCAGCCTTGCCTCCCTGACCTGCACCCACCCAGCCTCCTGGGCACCTCTCTGTCCCCTGAATGTCCAGCCGCCCAGCTTCCTCTCAGGCTGCATCCGCTCCCAGCCTCCCCATCTTTGCTCTCCAAGTCTGACCTGGGTTTCAGGGCCCAGGAGCAAGGGTGCCCCCACCTCCAAGGTGTCCTTGGGCCACGCTACACTTCCTTACTGGCCTGGGGGCCCCGGTCCCCCTGAGCCTCCCTGTCGGCCCAGAGCCAGCCTGAAGGAGGCGTGGCCGTCAGGACCAGGTCCGCCCTCGCCACACCGGTACCTGGCGGACTGGATGCCCTGCTGACTCTACCTTGGCCCGCCCCGTACCTGCCACCCCGTACCCAGCAGGACTCTCTCTGGCTCTTTCTCTCTCTGGCCCTCCGGCCCATTGTCCTGAATGTTCAGAGGCGCTGGCTGCTGGCCTGGGGCTCGGGCCTGGTGTCTGTTGGCCCATTCCATTCCACATTTGCCAGGAAGGATTAGTTAAGCAACAAGGCAAGAGAATAAATGAGGTTTGGATATTGGGAAGGCCGGTAAATCTGTCATTAAATCTGTCGTTATTCGTTATTCGTAGGCGGTAGGCTATCTGCTTACAAGAGCTTTCCTATGTATTAGGAAAAGCCTGTTAGGAAAAAGTGCTAAAAAGGTTCCTCTTAATAGTGACAAAGCAAAGGCCTCCTGAGGTGCCTTCACCCTCAGGAAAAGCACACTTCTCCTCAACTGGGCACTCGAGGCCCTTCCTAACCCACGGCCCTCAGCTCCTTCCCCCCTCGCTCACCCACCCTAACCTCCCGCCTCTCTCTCCTCCACACCTTGTACAGGCTGTTCCTTCTGTCAGCAGGGACCTCACCCCCACCTTCTTGACCCACCTTCGAGCTTCGATACCAAGCAGCCTCTCCTGACCAGGTCAGCACCTCCCGCTCTGGGCTTGGCCCCAGCCCTGGGTGTAGCTTCTCTCCTGACCGAGGGACAGGTGCATAGTCTGGGGAGTCTGCCCCTTGCCAGGGCAGGTACCCAGGGAACACAGGTAAGCAATCTAATGTGAAAGTGTAGCCTGGGGGTGTGCTGCCGCTCTGGGGTGTGTATGGGCTTTGCGTGTCGACCCGAGTGTGTTTCCCAGTCTGTGTGCAAGCGCTCTCTCCATTGAGTCCACAGATGTGTGTCTGTGCCCACGAGCATGTCCTGGTGTCCACATGGATCTGCGTTCCGCATGGGTGTGCGCGTACACTGCGATTTGCGCTGGCGTCTGGCCTGGGCTCTGAGCTAAGGCTCTTGGCTCAGAAAGCCACAAGCAGGGCCAGAACTCTCAGCACCTTGAATCCCCGCCCACCATCCACAGCACCCCGGTGCCCGCCGACTCCACCTGCACCCAACGTACCTGCTGAGCGAGTGGACGCCAGGCCCCAGGCAGATCAGGGCTGCCGGGGACGCCGGGCCCTCCAAGCTGGGCCTCGGTGGCCTGGCCTCCAGAGCAGCCGGAGCGAAGGACCCGCAGCAGCAGCTGGGACTTCCCAGCCAGGTCGCACCGCCCTGGGCCCGTCAGCCCCACCCCGAGCCCCACCCTCCACCCCGACCCCAGAGTTTCACTTTCAGAAAGGCTTTTACTCTCTCCCCGGTCCAGAGACTATCGCTACAACCTTTGATTCGTGGCAGCTTCGGCTCTGGCTGAGAGTCCGGGAGGCTGTGGGGAAGGGGGGGGGAAGGGCAGCGCTGGAGAGCTCCAGGCATGGATGGGGGATGGGCGCTGCCGCCCCCTGCTGTGCTCCTACCGAGGCCAGAGGGGCAGAGGCAGGGCTGCCCGGGTGGGGGGGGGGAATGGGGGAACAGGGGTACATCCAGCCCAAGGCACCAAAGCCCAAAAGCCCAGAAGAACCCCTCCCTCCAGGACAGAGATGCTGGCACCAGGCCCACGTGCAAGGCTCATCCTGAGAGCCAGGCAGGCAGAAACATGGGCTGGGGGGCACAGGGAGGGGATGTCACAGTGACAGCAGTGTCCTGTCACAGTGACAGCAGAGGGAATGCGCTAAGCCACAGCCATTCCTTAAGGCTTCAGGAGCTGGAGTGGATGGGGCTAGAGGGAAGAAGGGTTACACTCAGGTGAGGAGGGATGGTGGGTGTTCTGGTCAGGGGTCGGCAAAGGTGTAGATGGGCCCCGGGCCTGCTGAATGGAGGCCCCAGGGCCTCCTCCTCCACAGTCCATCAGGTTGGAGGCGTCTAGTGGAGAGGGTCACTGAGACTTCCCAGAAGAGGCGGCTACACATCTTCACGGGGGAATACCACTGCTGGCATCCTAGGAAAAATCTTAGGGAAAATCCAGGGAGGACAGATCCAGGCCTGTCCTGGCCGGGCTGGAGCCACCGCGGCCCGAGGCCGAGCAGGGCAGGTGCTCTGGGCAGCATGCTGAGGACGCGGGGACAAGCCTGTGTGCTGTTGGCCGAGCGCTGCTGCGACGTGGTGCCGCTGGCTGGGGCTTAAACAACACACATTGACTTTCTCAAGGATCTGGAGGCTGGAAACCAAGACCCGGATGTCAGCAGGGCTGCTTCCTCCGCAGGCCTCCCGGTGTGTCCACAGGGTCTCTCCGGCATCCTCACACGGCCGTCCCACATGCCGTCCCTCCGTGCGCGTCCGCGTGTGTCTCCTGTTCTCCTAAGGACACCAGGCATACAGGATTAGGCTTCAAACTAATGGCCTCATTTAACGTAACCATCTTTTTAAAAAATTTGTAAATGTTTATTTAGAGAGAGAGAGAGAGAGTGAGTGGGGGAGGGACAGGGAAAGAGGAGGAGAGAATCCGAAGCAGGCTCCAGGCTCCAAGCTGTCAGCACAGAGACCTACGCAGGGCTTGAACCCACAGACCACGAGATCATGGGCTGAGCCAGAGTCAGACGCCTAACTGACTAAGCCACCTAGGCACCCCTCTTTAAAATAGTCTTAAATGTTTATTTATTTTTGAGAGAGACAGAGGCAGAGCATGAGTGGGGGAGGAGGAGGGGCAGACAGAGATGGAGACAGAATCTGAAACAGGCTCCAGGCTCTGAGCTGTCAGTACAGAGTCCAATGCGGGGCTCGAACTCACAAATCGCGAGATCATGACCTGAGCCTAAATACAAAGCTTAACTGACTGAGCGTTCCCTTAATCACTCTTTAAAGGCCCTGTCTCCAAATACAGCCACCTTCTGAGGTACTGGGGGTTATGACTTCAACATAAGAATTGTTTGAGGACAAAATCCAGCCCATAACAGATTGGAAGGCACCTGGGAGATGGCAGCACCCCATAGCCCTCTGTAGACAGGCCAAGTTGTACCCAGAGATGCCAGTACCTCCTCCAGAAAGCCCTCTGGCTTACAGCTGAATCATTAGCCCTTTGAGCCCTGGGTGCCCCCTGTGAAGTAGGGTTGGTCATAGGGCCCCAGTTCACACCCAGCTGGCTGGCTGGGCCTTTACCCCTGGCTCGGGCTGGTCTGCTCTCAGGCCTCCTGTGCCCTGTGTCTCCGGCAGTCAGAAACTGAGAGATGGGAGGGGCCGGCACGATTCAGGAGACAGAGGGGACACCCCAAGGTGACTTCCCAGGGCCCTTCAGTGGGAGTCCTGGAGCCTCTGTGGAGTAAATATTCTCCACCTCATTGCATGGGAACAAGGCTCAGAGAGGCACAGGACCCTGCTCAGGGCTGCACAGCTAGCGGGACGGGGGTTAGGGTGTAGCCGAGGTTTCTGCCTCTGAGGACTGGGTCTTTCCTTAGGGCCAGGCCCTGGAGGACAGACACGGGGGCTCCTCTGTCTGATCTTCTTGGTCTCCAGTTCACAGGGCATGTTAGGCTCCTGGGGCCTCCAATTATGGGTCACTTCCTTTCAAGAGTGAGGTCCCTGAAAAGCTGGCGGGGGCCAGACCTCTCCCCAGCTCCCAGCTCCGCCCCCTCTAGTCTGCGTCCACTTTTCAGCAGGAGATTGTGATGTTTCTTTTATCCCATGTCCACGTTGTATCCCCCCAACTTTCTCAGTAAAATCCCTTTGGAAAAGTCCCAGCCTTCTCAGGGGCCCTGGACAGAGGGCTGGTCAGGCTGGGGTCAGCAAAAGGCAGAGCAGAGGGGGCAGCTGGGAAGGGAAGGCACAGCTGGGGATCCCACTTAGAGTACAAGTTCAGCTCCCCCACATGAGGCTGCACGTGGGAAAGGCACTTCTGACTCTGAGTCTCAGTTTACTCCTCCATAAAATGGAGGTGGTGTTGGCATCAAATGGGTCTGTTTCTGCAGAGGACTTGGCTCTCAGGTCGGGAAGGGCAGGGAGAAAGAAGGACTCTCATCGCCAGATGCTTGCCTGTCCTAGGGGTTCCGGGAACGCCAGGCTGTCACAGCGCGAATGGAGATGCCAGAGGGGGTGAACTTCACCCACACCACCGCCTGAGGGGCCAAGGCGCAGATCAGTGGGAGAGCAGGAAGCCTGGGCTCCACCCACTGCCCCTCACCGGCTTTGGGCCTGGGCAGGGGACAGGGCGAATATTGCAAAGTTTAGGTGGCCCATCTCCGAAGGGCACTAGGCAGTGACCCCAACCGATGGCAGAGGGAGCCGCAGGATGATTCCCAAAGCCCTTTCCCCAAGTCAGTCGTCCACCCGTGAGTGCAGGCGGGCGGGGCCCCGGCGGGCGGGGCTCCACTTCTGTCCCCCGCTGGTGCCGGGGACAAGAGCTCTTCGGAGAGCAGGCTGGGGCCGACATCAGGGGACTGTGTCCTGTAGGGTGGGGGCCCGCGCTCTGTGGGGCGAGCAGATACTCCCCCAGCTCACTGGGCACGACGGGGTCCCGGGACCTCCATTTATGGGTCACCTCCACTCTCAAGACCTGCCCTGTTAGCTGGTGGCCTCCAGGTGGCACTGTGGGTACCACTCGGGCCTGGGTCTCAGGTGGACCCGGATCCTGTCCCAGCTCAGCTGTTTGTCAGCTGTGGAACCTTGGGAGAGTCGTGTTTATTTATTTTTTTTTTTAAATATTTTTATTTATTTCTAGGAGAGAGAGAGAGAGACAGCGTGAGCAGGGGAGGGTCAGAGAGAGAGGGAGTCACAGACTGAAACAGGCTCCAGGCTCCGAGCTGGCAGTCAGCACAGAGCCCAACGCGGGGCTCGAACCCACGAACCGCGAGATCATGACCTGAGCCGAAGTCGGACGCTTAACCGACTAAGCCACTCAGGTGCCCTGGGAGAGTCGTGTTTAAATGGGGGTGATGCGGGGCGCCTGGGTGGCTCAGTTGGTTAAGCATCTGACTTTGGCTCAGGTCATGGTCTCATGGTCTGTGGGTTCGGGCCCCGCGTTGGGCTCTGTGCTGGCTCAGAGCCCAGGGCCTGTTTCAGATTTTCTCTCTCTCTCTCTCTCTCAGAAATAAATAAAACATTAAAAAAATAAATAAATGGGGGAGACGCCGTGCCTGGGAAGGGCTAGGATGAAATCTCCTAGACGGCACTGTTGCCCACCCCACATTCTGCACCAGGAACATGGAAATCACCCGTCTGCTCAAGTCCTGGGCCCCATATCACATGTGTCAGCAAGTCCTGGTGGGGCTTCCTGAGAAATGGCTGCCCCTTCCCACCTCCTTGAGGAACCACGAAGCGCTGGAGGAGAACAGGAAGGACTTGAAGGACAGTCCAGCACCTCTCCTAAGCCAGAGACCAGGGGGGACGTGTGGGCATCGGGACTGTGCGCGTGGCCCATGGGGCCACAGGGTTACAATGAAAGCAGGCTGCCAGGCAAACTTCCACACCTCCGTCTCCCACCTGTCCTGCGTGTCGGGGGTGGTTATTTTTAGAAGGAACGCATGCTGGAGAAAGTGCCTTATTCATCCTTGAGGTTAGCAAGGCCTCCAGAAAGAACAGAGGGGACTGTGTCTCCCTCCTGCCCCTCAAGGCTCACCGGGGTCTTGTCCGACCCTGCCTGGGCCTGCGTACTTGGTTGAGCTAACATTTATCCAGGCTTGCCTCCTGCCAGGCCCCGGGCTTCCTCAGGCCTGGGTCAGGCTAGCCAAGGGCAGGGAACCAGAATGGGGGAGAGGGGGAGGCAACCTGGGCCCAGGCACCGATCGGGTCTCTGCTCCCCCCATGCCAACCCCGACCAGCCCCTAGGGCTCCCCTTGTGCAGTGGGACAGTGCACCGCCAAGGGACAGTGTCACCGGATCCCATGGAGGGACAGGACCCTCACGTGGGCAGGAAGAGGTGCCCCTCCAACATGGACCCAGGTGCTTCCCAGCCCCAGGGCTCCCATCTAGCTGAGACCAGGACTAGCCTTGGGCACCTCACTTCACACTTCAGTTTCTGCGTCTGTAAAGTGGGACTTTTGCAAGGATTTGATGGGATCCAGCCTGCAACAGGACTCCCCACCCCACGCACCATTCATTCCTGTGCCCTGTGCACCCAGCGAGGAGGAAGGACTCCTGCCCTCGGGGTCCAGCCAGAGCTGGAGACGGCTAAGAGAGGTGGGGAGGCCATGTGGGGGAAGCTGGTCCTGCCCTGGGCGGCCCCTCCCCTGCCCCACCCCCAGTGTAGGGCACCCAGTGCCACTCACTTGGTGCTCTGGCCTGTCAGCCTGGGCTCCAAGTCTAGGCCCTTGTCTGGAAGGCCACGGCCAAACCCAAATCGTCCCCAGCCCCTTGAGTCCCCAGGAAGCATGCCCACCGGCCACCAGCAGAGCCTTTATTTCTGCTTCATACCGAGGAGCAAGGAGGGTGTGATGGGCCCTCTGGGCTGTGGACTGGTGAGGGCGGCCCGGGGTCCTGGCCACACCCCATGAGGCTGTGCTCTCCCTGCTCCAAGCAGCAGCCCTGCTGCCCTGGGGCTGAGGCCTCTCAGCTGTCAGCGAGCAGGGGTGAGGGGTGCCGAGCCCTAGTCTTCTCACTGGGGGGCCTGGGCCTGGCAGCTGCCACACTCACTGCCAGCGTCATCCGGAACCTTCCCTGGTGCTCCTGGCAGACTTGCTGAGGGGGCTGCAGAAACAGAAAGACCTCTGTGTTGGTGAGGCTGCCTTCCTGACGGGATTGCAATGAGACGGGAGGAGGGGGCTGCACCCAGGTGGGGACAGGCAAGGCCACGCTCCGGGAGCATCTGCCCACCTGGAGACCTCCCCACAGCCCGAGCCCGGCGGTTACCCGTGGCATGGTCCCGGGTGCGGCTCTTGGCCCTGGGGGGACGTGATAGAGATGGAGGAGGCCTTGGGGGAAGCTGAGGGGTCCCCTTCTGGGCCCAGGCTGGTGGGGGGGCTGACATGTGAGGAGGGGGAGGGGACAGGCTGGGTGCCAGGCAGCCCCAGAGAGGCTGAATTTGTTATCTCATCAGGGGACAGACTTCCCAGAGGACAAAACTTCCCAGGGCACAGCTCACCCCTCGTGTGGCCTCCGTGGAGGCCCCCAATGCCCAGCCTCACCCCTGGTGTCGGGAACACCCCTCTCCTAGCCACACACCCTCCCCCAGGGCTCTGGCAGTCCCTTGGCCTTTGGCCTTTGACCAGGCACCTATGGCTAGTGCAGGAGCCTGCCGCCAGGCTGGCCCACCGCCCCATCCCACGGGCACCTGGGCTGGCCCTTTTAACACCCGCTTGTCCCATAGGCAATGAATCCGGAGTGAGAGGGGAAGAGGAATTAGGACAGTGGGAGCATATAGTCCTGTGCCCATCAGATGCTTAACGGGCACCTCTGATGGACTGGGCTTGGGGCCACCACAGTCAATGGGGCCCTTAAGGGCAGGAGGAGGAGGCATGTGGACAAAGAAGGTCAAGGTCAGGAGGCTTCTGGGTGCCCAAGCAGAGGCTTCGAGGACCGGCAGATTGCGGGGGGGTGGGGGGGGCAGTGCACACAGGCTGCAGGGGTGGAGGGCCCTGCTTGTGCAAGCAGGTAGGAGGAGCCCCGGCTACCAACCCCCATGGGCAGCCCCTCACTCACCAGAAGCAACCTGGCTCTGGGCTGACCCCCTCAGGGCGCCCTCTGGGGGCCAACGCAGCTCCCCACTCTCCACAGAACCCACCTCGCTGGACTCCACCACGATGGAGGGCAGTCGCTGGCCCAGCCGAGGGCCCTTCTCCCGGGAACCTGCCACAGCCTGCAGGGAGGAAGGGCACAGGTCAGGGCAATGCCCGGCCCTGGGCTCCCTGCTCCCCCCACACCTGTCCTGCATTGTGTCCACTGGGGGAATCGGGGCTCTCCCCACCCAGGCTGCAGGAATGAGGGTGTGTGTGTGTGTGTGTGTGTGTGTGTGTGAGTGTGTGTGGCCATGCAGGTGCCAGCCTCTCCCCCATCCCACACTGTGGCCGGAGCACCACTCAGCACCTCTCCCTGGGGAGCAGCAGCTCTCCCTGGGGCTCCAAAGAAGCCTCACCTGGGTTCAGCCCTCAGGCCCATTTCACAGACAAGAGCCTGAGGCCAGAGAGGCCAAGGCCACAGGGCTTCTGTGCCTCCCCAACTCCCTCCTGTGTCCTGTGCGGCCCCTTCCTGGGGTCTTCGCTGCTAGGCCCTTGGTCCCTCCCGTCAGAGGAGCTGGGAAGCTGTTGCCATGGCAACCTGAGTGGGGCGCTCTGGGCTCATTGTTCAATGCCCACAGGAGTGTGCGGGGGCTGCCTCCCCATGCCCTCCTGGTGCCCTCAGCATCCCCGCCTCCCATTCAAGGCCTTCCAAGGTAGAGGCCCAGCCCTCCGGCCCTAATGCCACAGCAGCACTGCCGCCCGCCCTGTCCCACGTCCAGGCCTCTGCTCCAGCAGGTCTCCCTTCCCGGACCTCCCCACCCCCCACCTCTTCTACATACAAGGACAGCCGCTTGGTGCCTGTCTTCCTTTCCCTGCTAGCACGAGGGCTTGAAGGAGCATCCAGAACATCCAGCCTGCACTCCCTGCAGAGACTTCACTTTATAGCTGTATCAGCGCAGCCCCCAAAACCTAGAGCCGAGGGCAGAGGCCTCTGCATTGCCTCAGCCAGCAGAGAGCACAGTGCTTTGGGGGGCAAGCCCTGGCCGCTGCTGAGACACCGGCGAGGCTCGGTCTCCAAGTGCTTTATGCCTCAGACTTCTATGGAAGAGCAACCACTTCTCCCAGCCAGATGGGTAAACTGAGGCACGCTCCAAATCATGGCCAGGGCCTGAGGCTGGCTTCCTCCCGTCCCCCAGCGCTGGAAGACCCCAGGGCCCCAGCTACGTACCTTCCCTGCTGGGCCTCCAGCCTCCTCAGCCGGGCTTGGCTCTGGCACGGTGGGCTGGGGAGCACTCATGCTGGTCTGCTGTCCGTCTGCATGAGGATGGGGAGAGACGAGGCCACGTGCTGGATCCACTCTCCCCCGGAAGCTTCGGACCGCTCCAGCCCACAGCCAGCCCGCCCTGGGCCTACTGCCCACTGCCCCTCGGCTCCCTGTCACCACTGCTCCCTGCCCACGCCCACCCGCCATGGGGGAGGGGCACTGGACAGGCGCCACACAACGTGCCCGGGTTGCAGAGAGGCAGGAGCAGAGTTGGAGAGGCTGGCTCAGCCCCAAGGCCCGTGAAGGCTTCCCTGAGGAGGGCCAGCTGATCTGAGGCCTCAGGGATGAGCAGGAGGCAGCCAGGCCAGTGGAGAGAAGATGTTCCGCGCAGGGAACAGCACAGGCGGGCACAGAGATGGGAGGACCCAATCGGGTTCTTGCGTAGGAGGCTGGGAGCAGCGTGAGCCAGGTTCAGGTCGGCCTGAGGCAAAGGTGGCCAGGTCCTCTCGGAGAGCTGACAGCCCACACACACCCAGGGCCGGGCCCTTGACATCCACAGCCAAAGGGAACCCGGCATCCTGCACTTGGTCATGCCCGCTCAGGCCAACGCAGGCGCCAGGAGCCCAGCCAGAGACAGCACAGCAAGAACTTGGGAGGAGGGGCCCCAGCCTGAGTCTCCACCTGCACCTGGCGCAGGCGGACTGGGGGTGGGTCTGGCAGGCGACATCTAACTTCAGCGCAGCCTGGGAGGGGGCCAGGCAAGGGGCAGGAGTGCTGGGAGGGAAGCGGGCAGAGCGACCAGTAACCAGTAGGATGGACTCTTTGTGAGACCTTTGCTGGTGGGGGCGGGGGGAGAGGGTCCTGTGGGCTCCCAGTGCAGAGGGGAGGGTTGCTCTTCTGATATATGGGGTTTCTTTCACTGAACACCCAGCTCGGTTCAGTTCAGGTCCCACGGAGGCCCAGGGAGGGCTGGGAGGGGGGCCCTATACCTCTAGCCAATCCCAGAGCCCGAGGAAGGCAGCCCCTACCCTCCCTCACAGAGCGCAATGCCCGGGGTCAGATCCTCCACGTGAGCCCCTCCTGCAATCCCAGCCCAGGACTCAGAACCTCAGCCAGAGCCCGGGGCAGCCGGGGGCTGGGGTGGGGGGCACCAAGAGACTGGACGCAGAGATGCAGAGACTCCAGAAGGAGCCCAGAGGGAAGGCAAGAAAACAGCTGGCCACAGAGACAAAGCAGAGACGACAGGAGGGAGGGTACGGACAGAGGGAGAGACAGATGGACAGACGAAACGAGAGAGACAGGGTTGGGAGAGACAGCTGTTACCTTGGGCTGAGCAAGGGGCCAGACAGGCAGAGAGCAAGTCCCTCAGGGCAGCCTCCCCTGTCTGGCGCCAGCGGCCACTGGACCATCAAGGGCTCCCACCACCCACACCGCCGCAGGCCCCCAGGTGCGGAAGGCCAGGCTGTGCACAGCCCCCAGGGGCACTGCTCTGGCCCAAAGCCCGGCGCCCAGCAGCGGGGGACTGACCACGGCCCCCACTCCCTCCTCTCTCCCAGGGAACTCCGGAGCCCCCCTTCCAAGTTCCCCCTTCCTCCTCTCCCAGCCCTGGCCGCCAGGGCGCACCGGGGGCGAGGGCCCAGACCTGGGTGGGGAGGGGGCGCCCCCTGCGCCTCACTCACACTCACCCTCTCCTGCTGGCTGCTTGCGCCGGGTTGCCACTCTGGGCTCGGAGCTGCCAGCCCGGTTGGCCCGCCCTCGCTCCTGCCCTCCCTCCCCCGCGCTCTCCGCCCACACCCGCTCGCCGGGTCCCCCATTCACACTCAGGCCCCTGGGCGCTTCCGCCCTCCCGGTCCCAGCTCCCAGGTAGCACCTCGGCCTCATCCTCCCTGTGACAAAACCGTGTCCCTCACAGCCTGATCCCCAACCGCTCGAGACCCTAAGCCTCAGGTTGGTGGTTCAGGAATCTGAGGGGTGAAAATTCGATGGGGCCGGATGCACGGAGAGAGGATACCCTCCAGTTTGAAGGAGGGAAAAGAAGGGAAACACCCAGGTAGGATGGCCAACGTGATGGGGGTGGGGTGGGGGTGGGGTATGTCCCTGCACTGCTAACCTCTCATCTTCATCCCCAACGCCATTCCCAAAAAAGGAACAAAACAGTCCTGGGACAGTTTCATTCAGCCTGGTGTGCAGACCTGATACCAGAGGCCAAGATGCGTAACCTCTAATCGTCATGACTCCCCACCCTTCCACCATCCAGCACCTGACATCCACCATCTGGATGTTATCAACATCCAGCCTCTAGCCAACATCCACAGCCCACCATCCAACCATCGTCTATACCCACCACCTATTCATGTATCTTCTATTATCTGGTCACCATCAAACCACCATCCAACATTCATTAACCATCTAACCCCAATCACCACCCTCTATCCAACCACCATTCATCAACCATGCATCCATCCATTCCACCCATGCCCACTATGTGCCAAGCATCAACACACCACAAAAGTACCCATCAGTCTAACATTACTTCACCTTCTATTCACCCATGACCTATCCACCCATCATCCACAATCTATCAGCTTTCTATCAACACTTAACTACTAGCCGTCTACCATTCATTTATCCATCCACCATATGTCTGGTTGTCACTACTCAATCTATCATCTATCTACTCTCCATTTATCTGGATTTATCCACCACCACCCATCCACTAGCCTCCATCTATCCAATAAGCCACAAATTCATCCATCCACAATTCAGTTACCAATTAGTTGCCATCGCTCCTCTATTCATATTTCTATGAACTACAACACACCATCCACCCACTCACCAATGCTTACCCAACCCTTATCCCTATCCACCACATATCTGTCCACTCATTGTCCATCTCACACTGTCCTCTATCCATCTATCGCTCATCCAGCCGTAATTCACTATTCATCTAAAACCCATTTGGGGCATCTGGGTGGCTCAGTCAGTTAAGCATCAGACTTTGGTTCAGGTCATGATCTCACAACACATGAGTCTGAGCCCCACATCGGGCACTGTGCTGACAGCTCAGAGCCTGGAGCCTACTTTGGATTCTGTATCTCTCTTTCTCGCTGCCCTCCTCTTCTCTCTCTCTCAAAATAAACATTTGAAAAATTAAAAAAAAATAAAACCCAGTAAAGTATCATCTACCATCATCCATTCTAGAAAAATTTATTGAGTGCCTTCTATGTACCAACTATTGTTCTAGTAGAGAGATAGCAGTGAGCATTCACCCACCATAACCTCATCCACCATTATAATCCATCTATGATCCATCCGTTTATCATCTGTACATCAGCTCCCACTCATTATTCACTATCCATTCAATATCCATCTTTATTTATTATTCATTCACCATCCACTTGCCATCTATCCATCTTCCTCCATCTATACATTAAAGCAGCCATTGACCATACACCACTCACCATCTGCAATCCATCCACCATCTCTCCAACATCTTCCCCTTCACAATTCACCTTTCATTCATCCATTTTCCAAGATATAGCCACCTGTGATTTAATCATCATCATTTCATTACCTAATCATCATCTATTCATCCAGGATCCAACTATTCATTATCTATCCACCACTCGCCTTCCATCTGCACTTCCATAGTACACAAACCATTATCCATTGGCCTAGCACCCATTCATTTATCATCTATTCCTCATTCATGTACCATTCAGCTTCTTCTACACCAGTCACAGTCCATCCATCAATCATACATCTACTCACATGTACCTGCCATTTATCCATCCATTCTCTATGGATAGATGCATCAAAACATCCACTCACTGTTTATCCACCATCCACCCATGCTTCCATGATTCATCCACACACCAAGTATCCACTATCCACCACCTACTACCTGCAATTCACCTTCTATCTATACATTCTCTCAGTATCCATCTATCAATTTTGTGTCCACATCCATCCACCCTCCATCTATCAATCTACAGTCTATTTATCAGCTCATCACTTAATCAATTACCATTACACAAATGCATCCACCATTCACCATCTTCCATCTCTCCATCATCTAGCATCTCCATCTACTAAGCTTCCAGTACTAACCCAACCATTATCTATACGGTCATTCATGTCACACACACACGTTCTACCATTGCATCCATCTTTCCTCCATTAATTCACCTCTCCATCCAGTTATTCATCCTCTACCAGCCAGCCAGACATCTTGTAATTCACCCATCCATCATTCTGCCATTCATTTATCCATTATTCTTATTTCCTTATGTTACCCGTACACATAAACATCGGGTAACCTTTCTTGCTTCTCTCTACCACCCATCTCCATCATTCATCCACCCACCCATCTTCTCACCATTCTGTCACCCATTCACTCATACACTAAACATTTATTAATAAATATTAGTATTAAACACGTTTTACTCAGTGTAGTGCTGGGTTCTAGGATCATCGGGATGAATCAGATCCATCCAAAATTCACGGTCTGATGAATTCACAATCTGATGACCCAAAAAGGGTAAACCAGTCAGACAGAGAGATGTCATTGTAGAAATGCATGTTGTGCCTAAATCTCAGTGCCTCCATCTTCTGGCCATGGGACGGGTGGAGCTCTGTGCACAAGATCCCCTGGAGAAGGGTGGTGGGAGCGGGGAGACGCCGCAGCAGAGGCCTGAGCTGGCACGGTGGCTGCGGTTTGGGGGACCTGATGACGTGGGTATAAAGAGGGGTAAGAAAGGAAAAGGAGGTTGGCGGAGGTCATGCAAGGCTAGGAATACCCGGCTTGGGGATAGGTGCCGGGTGATGGGTCCCTGGTGACAACAGGGGCCTCTGGGAGGGTTTTAGGCAGGTAGGCGCCCCGGTCAGCTGCGTTCTGCCAGAGGAGCCCCCATCCATGCCCACACGCCGAGAGTGCCTGAGCCAGGAGGGCAGGAGCTTGCCTGAGAGTCACACAGCAATGCCAGAGCCGCCCCTGCGTCTGCAACTGCACCGTCTCGGCAAGCAGACACCCTTGCATCGGGAAAGTGTGCTGGCATGCTCCCATTTCCACCCCCGCCCCCCCTCCCCTAAAGGCCACCCTACCCCCTTCCCACGTGGGCAGAAATTGCTTTCCCTGCTTGTTAAGGAGGGCGCTGGCTGTCACCCGAGGTGCTGGTTTTCGTCCAAGGTGTTAGCTGACAAGGGCCTCAGGCTCCTGGGGATGCTCCTAATAGGGTCCTCGGGAAGCATACAGGCCCCTGGGGCTCCCAGCTGGTGGCTCCCAGCTGGTGGGGCAGCCGGCGGGGGCCGGGATGTCTTTAAAGACAGGCCTGGAGGCGCATATCTGAGCCTGCAGAGGCAACCCCGGCTGCCTGCCCTCCGTCCCGCGCCTCTCGCAGGAGACAGGCACACCTGGAGGCAGGAGCTGTGTCCGGGCCACGCCCGGCCTTTGCTGTGTGTCCTGGGGGCGCCCTGCCCCTCTCTGGACCCGTCGCCGCTGCCTCTGTCGTAGGATAGAGGAGACCAGGTGTGAGTCAGGACCAGCCGTCGCTGGTGTTCCCGCGGTGACGGCCGCCGCCGGACCAGAATTATCCCCTCAACAACCCCTCACCCACACACCCTCCAAGGCTTGAACGCGGTGTGGGCGGCCGGCCTGGGGTGGGTGGGGTCCTGGGTCTGGTCCAGGAAGGCTTGCTCTGCTCGCCCTCTTGCGGTCATTCTGGGGTAAAACAGCCCAGACTCCCGGGTCGCCACCGCAGAGCAGGGACAATACATTTGGGTGTCAATCTGAAACATTTAATGTTTTGAGGTGCGACTTTGAGCACCATTTTCCTATGCTTTCTCCTCACGTGCTGATCCTCTATGAGAGGCAGGTCAAGGACTGAGCCGCTATGGCCCTTGGTCCTAAGGGTCCTAAGCAAATGACCCCAGGCAAGGAGAGGACCGGCCAGGGGACGGAAGAAGGAAGGTCGACGACAGAAAACCCCCTTCTAATGACTGTCTCATCGCGATAAAATTTTCACCTGTCTTGCACCAACACTGAATCTTCAGCCCTTAAAGACTGATCGACTGCACCAAGTTTCTGGACGTTTCTCTCTAAGGGAAATAATCAGATTTCAGAGTTTTGTAAATACCTTAATAAGAGAGTCACACCAATGGAGGCACTTCCCACAGTCCCCCGGAATGAGGGTGAGCAGGCGGGCGGGCACAGCGCACAGTGGCCACGACACAGCATCCCTGAGGCCTGCAAGTGGGTGGGACGGTCCCCTGTGGGGTGGGGCGGAATCTGTCCTCCCTGGGGGGTGGGGACAGGAGGAGGGCCCGGGCCTGTCCTCCAGACCTGAACCGCCCCTCTTGACCTGCACTGCGCAGGACTGAGCCTGACTGGGAAGGGGGCGTCAGGGTGAATGGGGGCCCCAGGCGGGGTGCCACCGGGGATGCCAGGCCCACCGCTCCGGGTCTCCAGGGGCCTGGGCTGGACACCCACCGTGGGCCGCAGCGCTTCGTTTGCGCACCCCTCCCAGCCTGGGAGACCAGCCGCTCAGTGTCCTGGGCTCTGGTGATGGCAGGCCACGGGGCAGCCGCGTGCAGAGCCAGAGCCTGGGGGCGTCCACCCCTACGCCTCCCCCTCGGCGGGCGCTGCACCCCGCTCTCCCCTCGGAGTCTGTGGCCTGGTCTCAGTTTCCCTGAGCCTTGGGCCCTCCCTTCCTCCCCGTGGGGTGGGGACGGACGCAGATTCCAGGCTGGGGGAGCCAGAGGGGATCTGGCTGATATTCCTTCCCCACTCGCGCCGCCTGCGGCCTCTACCCCTGGCACAGAGGCAAAACAGGCTCGGAAGAGTGGGTGGGCGGGAGAATGGGAGACAGAGCTGTCCAGGATCGGGGGGGCCTGGGAGGGAGGAGGAGGAAGGGGCTTGCTTCCCATTTCACATTTGCCCGCTGGTCCCCTGCGCTGGGAGCTCCATTTGGGAGCAGAGGGGAGGGGAGCAGGGGCTTTGGTTACAGCCCAGTGGGGTCTGATCTGCAGCTCCGTGGTCTGAGAGGAGCTGACGGTGCTTGATTTCCAGCTTGGAGGACAGGTGACCTTGGACAGGTGGGGACGGCAGCAAGAGAGGCAGCCCAAGTGTGGAGGCCCCGGCTGGGGCAGGTGAGGGCAGGGCGCTGCTGGGACCTGAGGCTGGTCCCAGGGCAGAGCTCACCCAGGCAGCAGGGGAGGACGAGAGCTGTCCAAGGTCATGGTGCCTGCTGAGCTCTTCCCAGCTGCACCCTGCCAGCAGAGAGCAGGGCACATCCGGCCTCGGGCCCACCCACCACCCACCACTGGGGGACCGGGGGACCCCTGTCCCCAGCCCTTCCTGCTTCCTCACCCCAACACATTCTGAGAAACTGAGGATGGGCAGGACACGTGGTGGTGAGGTGGGGGTGGGGTGTCAGGGGTTCGATCTTTAGAGCCTCCAGAGGTTGGCCCACTGCCAGGACCCTGGGAGACACCCCGGGTCTCACCAGATGTGGCCACCCATCCCCACCCCACCAAGCCGCAGTTTCTGGTCACAAAGGTGGTGACAGGTCCTTCCGGGAGTGATGGTAAATGACCCTGCCGTGAGCCGCCTTTGTGTAACAATTGTGTTTAGAATACGTGCCCCTTTAATGCACGGATGTGTGCATAGCATGGGATGTTCTGGAATGATACACGGTAATTCTGGCAGAGTTTATATAGCACTTCCTGTGTATAAGGTACTGTCTGGATGCTTTGCCTAGCTGAGCTAATCGTGGGGACCCTGGAAGGATGGTACATTATTAGCCCATTCTATGGAGGAGACCAAGGCACAGAGAGGCTGGAACTTGCCCACGGTCACAGAGCTGAGTGAGAGGCGAGGCTGGGATTTAGGGGCGGCACATGAGACTGCTCACACAGGGCTCGGTTGCTGCTCCGGCGTCCTAGAGGAGGTGGGGGGGGGCACACCTCTGGCCATACCTCCATTTAATACTGGCCACATCCCAGCTGGTCTGCCAGCCCTCTTGGCAACCCTGGGGAGGGGGGCTGTCAACCTCCGTTCCCTGTAAGTGCTAGACACAGGCTTTGAGGGAAGCAGCTTGCCTCAGGGCTCTCAGTGCTGAACTGAGCTCGATTCCTGCCTTCCAAGATGGGGGGGCCGCAGGCGAACCCTGGAGCCCCTCTCCTGAAGCCCCCGGGGGGGGGGGGCAGTGTGGGTGGGTGTTAGGCTCAGGGATGGCATAGAAACTGCCCACTCCTGGCAGCCTCCTGTTTGATCGGTTCTTTGGGCCTATGGGAGCTGAGCTCTAAAAGCCCTGTGTGAACCGAGTGCTGGGAGTCAAAGCCCTGACAGTGGGCCTGGGGAGGAGGAGTCAGATGGCATGGGGATGGGAGGAACAGCCCCTCTTCCCCAGCCCCAACTGCGGGGGTCACGGCCCGGAGGCAGAGGCCGAGCAGGCTGAGAGGTGGGGCCCGGCACCCCTGATCCTGCCCTGCCCTGTCCTGTGCCGGGAGCAGCCAGAGAGAATGCACGCCCAGGCCCAGGCACTTCCCCTACTGCCTGGCACCCCATCTTGGTCCCGCCCCACCCCCACCGCACCCCTGGCAGGTCATTCTGCAGACCACAAGACTGCAGACGCACCAGGTGAGGATTGTGAGTTGGGAGCAGAGGCCACCAAACCCTGCACGTCGGGAGTGGGCGCCCTGAGCGACGCAGGGGTAGGGTGAACGGGTGGGGAAAGACCAAAGAAGAACTGGTGTGGTGGCACCCGGGCAGCAGGCCCTGGGGGAAGCAGAGCCCCCTCCCCCACAGTCAGCAGGGAGACCTGGCACTGAGGGTCTTGAAAGCCCATTTCGGGAGATTATCTTCTGAGCTCTGCCTGGGGCGAGGGGCCATGAGGTCTGTGACAGCAGCAATTCTAACGAGGAAAGAGAAGGGAGTGATGAAGTGCCCTGGATGCTCACTCTGCCCATTACCTCGCTTAATCCTCACCAGGTGGGGAGCATTATACCCATTCAGCAGGTAAGGGGTAATTTGCTAATGGGTTTAATCTTCTCCCGGAGGGGACTGGCCACAGGCCGTGTCCAAAGCAGATGTCACCCTGAAGGTGCAGAGACACTCCCGAGGTGCTGGGGAGCCTCTGGCAAGCACATGCGAGAGGGGATCAGCAGGGCAGGGCTTGCAAACTCACACTCGGGGCTGGGTCAAGGTGCCAGGGGAACAGGAAGTGGCACTTGAGAAGCTGTCTGGCCCTCCCTCCTCGCGCCACCCTCGCCGCCCACCGGGCTCCCAGCCTCCTTCCTTCATGCACACGCGTCTCTGCGGGCGCTTTCTCTGTGTCTGATCCGGGCGGGGCACTCGCTCATGCCTCTGACTGTCCAGGTCCCCCATGCTGTTGTATGGGCGGCGGAAAGGACAGCGGTGCGGGAAGAGCCGTGGCCCAGAGATGTGGGTGGCAGGAAACCGCAGGAAGCACCACCAGGGTCACAGCAGGACCCCGTGGCGACTGGCGGGAAAAGTGGGACCACGGCGGGAGTCCCATCAGCCGCCCCCACGCGTGTGCAGGCCCGCCCCCCTCTCTGGCATCTCACGCTGGCCACCTTCTGCTCTCACTCTGCACTGGGGGGTTCTCTGCCTGGAGAGAGATCATAGCTGCAGAGGGGCCCCCCTGAGCCCCCCATCTGTAAGGCAGGCAGGCCCCCCCCCATCACCTTGCCGTGTCAGCTCTCCTTGAAACAATCACCACTCTTCAAAATTCTTCCCAGTCTTCTGTGCATGGGTCTGCAGTCTGTCCCGGGCCTGGAGTGGACCCTCAGCTTCCCGGCCTGGCCCCTGCGGTGGCCCCCAGACCTACAGCGGCACTGGTGTAAAGCAGGCATTTGGCAGCTCTGGGCTGGTTGAATGAATGGATCAACATAATTTAAAAAATTGTTTATTTATTTTGTTATTTTTTAAAAAATGTTTTATTTATTTCTAGGAGAGAGAGAGAGAGACAGCGTGAGCAGGGGAGGGTCAGAGAGAGAAGGAGTCACAGACTCTGAAACAGGTTCCAGGCTCTGAGCTGGCTGTCAGCACAGAGCCTGACGCGGGGCTCGAACCCACGAACCGCGAGATCATGACCTAAGTGAAAGTCGGACGCTTAACCGACTAAGCCACCCAGACGCCCCTATTTATTTATTTTGAGAAAGAGAGAGGGATAGAGAGCCGAGCAGGGGAGGGGTAGAGAGAGAGGGAGAGAGAATCCCAAGCAGGCTTCACACTGTGAGCACAGAGCCTGATGTGGGGCTTGAACCCATGAACCGTTGAGATTAGGACCTGAGCTGAAACCAAGAGTCGGATGCTCAACCGACTGAACCGCGCAGGCGCCCTGGGCCTATTTAATCTTTTCATGGCTACGTGGACCATGATTTATCTATTGTCTGATGATGGAGATTCAGGTTTTCATGATTCCAACTGCAAGTAACTGATAATGACTATTGCTGTATGTGTGACTGTACCTGTCAGAGTCCCAGCAAGGGCACAAGAGAGCAGGGAAATCAAGGGCAGCAGAAAAAGTGGCCTGGTAACCAACGTGTGGGCAGGGCCCGGAGCCACTGAGGAAGGGTGGGCAAGCTCCCGGGCTGGCAGTGGTGGGGAGATTTTACTACCGCTGGGTCCCCCAGGGGCAGCAGGAAAGGGGGGTGGCTGGAGCCTGGGGACAGCTGCTCCAGAGGCTGTGGCCGCAGCAACAGGGAAGGCAGGGAGGGGAATCGATGGCCGTCTGACTCTGTGCTGAGCTCCCCATCCTGTGGGTACAACCCACCGGGGGCACGAAGCAGGCAGAGGAGGGCAGAGTGGGCCTGTGGAGGCAGAGGCACACTACCCTCCCTCGTGCCCTTCGGCGTCCACCCTGGTCCTACGGGGGAAACGAGTCCTCCACTGATCGTCCCGAGTGACGACCACTGGGGAGTGTGCCATGCTGAGCCCAAGGCTTTGGGCATCAGCAGTATAAGGGGAGAAGGGGGAGACAGGCGGGCAGGAAACAGTCAGCAAGGGGTACGCTTACCATCGCTCCTGCCTCCGGGCACGTTCTTCAACCACTGACCATGTCCCTCCTTCCACAGGCCCCTCAGCAGCACTGCTCTTTTAGTCTTGGTGGGGTGACTCAGACTTGTGTTCCTTCAGGAGCGAGTCCTTTATGGGCCTGTCATCAATGAGCTCCCTTCCCTATCCCAGTAAGAACCCTGAATCACCACGGTGACACCTCTGGGCCCCAGGCACAGTGCCCCCACCCAGTGTGTGGAACCAATTCCAATTCCCTCTGACGCTTGGGTTCAGTATCTCAGGCAGTCAGTGACTGCTCTTCTGCCTGCTGGTTTCGTGGCATGAGGAACCAGGAAGAGCCGTGGGGGAGGGGCAGCCTCGGCTTTAATTCACTGGAAGCATGACTGGGTTTCCTGATGAAGGCATTCCTCTCTTGGACACTAGCCCAAGGTCACAGGAAGGAAAGCAAAAATTCCTCCCGTGTGCTATTTGCTGTTATAGCAAGAGGGGACTCGCTCACCTCCAGTGTGGGTCCTGGACCCAGGCGTGCAGGCTGTGGAGGGAGGGCACCATATTATCTTGGGGGTCAAGGCACACACCATAGCCTGCAGGACAACGGTGTGACCTTGCCGGGCATTGCCTGTGATCTAGCACTGGAACTAGAACTCTGCAGACCATTCTAGCATTCTCTGAAGCCAGCTCCTTTGGGGTGTTGGGGCACACGGTAAGTCCAGGGAATTTCATGGGCATGGGCTCTCTCTGCCTTACTTCCTTCACCATAAAATGAGGCCTTTGGTCTAACGCAGTGTTGCCTGAGTTGCCATGGTGATGGATAAATAAAACATTCTCCAAGTCTACAAATGGTGGTGCTGGTAGAAGCGACGTGCTGGAAAGGCAAGTATTGACCTGAAATACGCAAGGGCAAATCACTGCCCGATCCACAATGGAAGGGGGCCAATGTCATCACCCTGCCACTAGGCAAGTGCCTGTTCTCCCTGGGGAACGGGGCCATATTAAGAGCCCCCTGTGAGTCCCTAATGTTGGCAAGGTGGGCACTCAGCTGTAACAGAAGTCAAGTCAGCTTGGTGAGGGAGGTCCCTGTGGCTGAGCCCCTCCATGGCCTCTCTTTCCACCTCCTTGGTCACTTGTTCCTGGGCCTGCGATAGGGGAGGAATGAGGCTGATGTCCTCAGAACGGATCATCTTGTCCATTTGAACCATAAGAGCTTCTTCCACAATAGATGCCTTTTTTAAAAAGACGTTTTTGGTTATTTATTTTGAGAGCGAGCGAGCGAGAGCGCGAGCATGTGTGTGCAGGGGTGTTGGTACAGGCAGAGAGGGAGGGAGAGAGAGAATCCCAAGTAGGCTCCACGCTGTCAGCACAAAGCCCCACATGGGGCTCAAACCCATGAATTGTGAGATCCTGACCTGGGCTGAAAGCAAGAGTTGGACGCTTAACCAGCTGAGCCACCAGATGCCCCAGTAGATGCCCTTTGATGAGCCTTCTGTGCTCGTCCCGAGAGATCCACCCACTTGCATTTCCCCTAGATCTCTTGAAAAAGTTCATTCTCTCCAAGTCTCTGATTGGCAAGCCAACCCATTAGCCACTGGATCAACGCAGAAGTTCTCCTGGGGAAAGTTCTCTTCGCCACTGCCTTTCAGGGCATCCCCTGAGTGTGTTGGTAAAGCAGCTACCATTGCTCCGTGGCTAGAGCCGGCAGACCAAGCTTTAAATGAGGCCCATGCCTTTTCGATCCTTTTTTGATTGGTCACAGCACTTCCCTTGAGGGTGTAGCTCTGGGTTAGCTAGAGATGGTATAAGAGTAGGAGCAAATATGATGGAGGCCAAGCCACCTACTTATAAAGTTTGCTGGTTCTTCCCAGGGCTGCTGGGAAGACTGCTACATGCACATACAGTTTTGTGCTTTGGTGGATGGGATAACGTCCCTCTGGTAAAGGACAGCTTAGGTGACATTGTTTCTTGGTGTCTGTGGCCTAGTGTTAAGTCTGTATGAAGATCCAGCAAGCCAGGAGCTGCCTTTGAACTGGAGAAGAGCTCTTGGCAGAAGAAGGCATGAACTTACCCCAAAACCTTGTGTGTATTCACAGTGATTTTCCTACTGGGGCTTTCCCCACCAGAGTCTCTGCCACATTCTCACACTCAAACACAGGGGCTTCCGGGTCATAAGCTGCAAGCATCAGGGCAGCTCGCACCAATGCCTGGACCTGTTGGAAAGCTCATTTGTTCTCTGGGTTCCATTCAAAATTGGCAGCCTTAGAGGGTGCCCAGTAATTAATCGGAGAAGCTCGCCCAGACAGTAAATGTGTCTGTAAAATCCAACAAGGCCGATCAGGCATGTGCCTCTGTCTTCATGGTGGGCCTTCTTATGTCCAAAATTGTCTTCATTTTTTGAAAGTTAGTTTTGTTGGGTATAGAATTCTAGGCTGGCAGTTTTTATTTTCTTTCGGTATTTTAGAGATGTTGTTCCAGTGTCTTCTCACTTACATAATTTCCAATAAGAAAATTGAGGTCATCTTGATTTTGTTTGTCTGCTTGTGTCTCTCCCCCCCTTTTTAATGACTGGCTTCAAAGAACTCAGTTATGATGTGGCCTTAGTGTAGTTTCTCCCCCAAGTTTCTTATGCTTGGGGTTCATTGAAATTCTTGGATTTGTGAGTTTATAGTTTTCATTGACTTTGGAAAATTTTAAGCCATTATATTTTCAAAATATCTTCTGTCTCTACTCTTTCTTGTTCTTCTCCTTCAGGACCCCAATTATCCATGTATTGGGTCACTGTTCACTCATGCTATTCATTTTTCTGGATTATTTT